TCACACAGTCACGCACACCCACCACACACCTGACGCACTCCAACCTGTTACTTCATTTCACCCTCAAAATTCCCCATGAAACATACTATCTCCCCATTTTACAGATGAGAAATCAGGGGCTCAAGAGTGCAAACATCCCCTGAGACACATCCCCTGAATCAGCAGCAGCTCCCAAGCCTCTCACACTCCCCAGGACGTATTTGCAAGTGAATTCATGCCCTTCTCAGACAGAAGGAAGAACATCTGGGTGCTGCCTGGAGCTGTGCTCCTTAAAAGCTCCCAGGTGAATTCAGAATTCACAGTGACTTATGAGAAGGCAGCTCTGGGCAGCCTGCACCCCAGCCCTTGTTTGCAGAAATAAATAAAATAAATCTCTTTTTTAAAAAATCCCAGAAGGTGACTAGTGTCCTTTCTCAGGAGAGGAGAGTAGGGAGTCTTCTTTTCATTTCTTAGGTTATTTTTTGTTGAGGTGACACTGGTTGACCGCACTGTAGATGAGGAAGGGGTACAGCTCACCCCTGGTCAGACGTGTCACTGCCCCACCCCTGCCGCCAAGGCACCCACAGTCGCACCTCGGCCCTCCCTGCCTTGCTCCCCACCTTCCTGCTCTGATGGCCTGTTCTAGGTCGGTCTCTTCCTCGTTCCTTTATGTCGCAGAGATGAGGGGAACCATCCAGCATTTGTCTTTCTCCTCCTGACTGGCTGCTCCCAGCAGCCTCCCTCCAACCCGCCTGTGTGGCCGCATGGCAGGATTCCAGCTCCTTCCAGCGGCGCGTGTTCCACTGTGTTTACGCGGCAGCTTCCTCTGCTGCTCATCCTGTGGGCGCTCAGGCTGTTTCCAGAGCTCAGCAACCGTGATCAGCTGTGCAGCGGACACAAGGGCGCGGGGACCCCTTGAATAAGGGGGTTGCATTCTTCAGGTAGACATCTAGGAGGGAGTGGCTGGACCGCAGTGTGATCTAGTTTCAATCTCTGGAGAACCCTCCATACAGTTTTCCATAGAGGCTGGTCCCAACTACATTCCCACCCCACACCTGAGGGTTCCTTCCCCCCACCCCAGCTTTTGAGTGACTACTGCATGCAAAGGCCCAGGCCAGCTGGCAGCAGGCAGGGACAGGAGAATGTGCTGAGGCCCTGGGAGTCCTGGTCACTGCCCAGAGGCCACGTGTCCAAGCAGGCATCCCCTTGCTGGAGCCTGCATCCTGGGAGCAGCAGGACGGAAAGTGGGGTTCCAATTGGGATGTCCACTTGGGTCCCCTGGCCCTCAACAAGGCAGAGGCCTCAGCACACTGAAAGTGGGCTGCAGGGATAGCGTGAATTCACCTGCTGACTCTCACAGGGGAGAACCACGTGCAGAGATGGCCATGGAGCCCAGAACACACAGAAAGAGGCTCTGGCTGGACGTCGTCATGTGATCTTGGGGTGGTGCCAGATGAGGGGCGCCGCAGGCGGGGCCCTTCCTGTCTTGATTGGGTGAGGGCCACACAGATGTGCCTAAAACACATCAGAGCTCGCCAAGGTTCACACTTCAGGTTTGTGGCTTTTCTTCTGTAAGTTTTACCTGAATAAGTAGTTTTTCTACGAAGGAGGAACATGGCCATCGGTCTGGCTCAGGGCTTGCCCATCAGGCAGGTCGAGCCCTGCATGATCCTAGGCCTGGGCAGACAGGCCTGGAGACCCCCCAGATCTCCCAGTCCAGCTCCCCTGGAGACCTGGCAGGCGTGGGAAGGGCTTCTGGGTGGGAGAATTCAGGGCACGTTTATACGCAGGCCCGATGTGGGCTGACCTGCCTCCCTTTTCAGAAGGAAGCCCCACGTGCTACCAGGGGGTGCTAGCCGATGCTTGCAGCTCCCCCACCATGCTGCTGGGACCCTGATGCTGCCCCTGGAGGCTGGGGAGCTCATCTGCCCATCGCCCCCTTTCTCTTTCCTCATCTGCACACACCCCAGGGAGTCTCGCCAGGGAGCAGCAGAGACACCCAAAGGACGTGGGGCTTTTTTGCTGGAGAAGGCAGGGGCAGGGGTGAACTGGAACAGACACTGTGTCCCCCTCATGCTCACGCTGAGGAGCGATTGGAGAGCAGGTGGGGGGTCAGTGTGACCCACATGGGGGCACAGGCCAGTCCCTATGGCAGAGATTGACAAGGAGCGCGATGGCCCCGTACCGAGCACTGACTTAGTCCCCATCACATCCTGCGGGTGATGGCTCTGCTCGCATCTCACAGACGGGAAAACTGAGGCTCAGAGAGAAGAAGTGGCTTCCCTCAGACCTCCCGGCTGGCACCAAACAAAGAAAGTGTTCAGCATGGCCCAGCCCGGCCCCCAAGCCCTTGCTTTCTGCTCCACCTCCCTGGGAGAAGTGGGGAGTCCCACCTGCGGCCAAGGCTCGCATGCTAGAGGTAAACTTCTGCCCAAGTCCTGGCTCGAGATGCCAGTAGCAAGCAGAGGAACGTGTTGGGGGCTGCTCGGTGACCCCCAACCTCCAGAGCGCCCCCGGCTGGCTAGGCAGGGACACGAGGGATGGTTACCTTGACCCTTGGTCTCTAGGCAGACCCGGGGCCCGGGGTCACCCTGCAGCAGCCTCTCCATCGAGGGCAGAGGCAGGGCCACCTGGATCACCAAGCCAGCGAGGCGGAGTCAGTGAGGCAGGGTGTGGAGGGCTGCCAGGCCCACCCCTGCTCTGCCTCCTGAAGCCGCAGACTGGGCTGCAGACACGGCTTGTGTTATGTGCGGCCAAGTAGCCCCGGGAACCAGCACCGGGCGGCCCGAGTGTGTGGCCTCATGTGCGTTCGTGGAACAAATAGATGACATGAGCCAGCGGTGAGCAGCCCGGGGCCTCCTGGGCGGCTCATCTCCAGGCAGCCTCTGGAATCTTCCGCTTCGGGGTCTGGTCTTGGTGCAGGAATGCTCGCGCCTGGCCTGTGTGCTTGAACCCCCTCCACCAGCCCCTCTTTGGAATTTATTTGCAGCTGCCCTGGGAAGTGTGTGGAGAGGAGCTGCCCAGAAGCTCTGCTCAGGCCTGGAACGCACACAAACAGCTGGAGGCTGGAGCCAGCCCGGACGGGAGGGGGCCAGAGCAGCCCCTTGTTGGAGACTCTCCCAGTGCAGAGACTGACGGAACTTTCCTCATGGCGGGAAGTTTCACTGAGCACCTACTATGTGCTGAGCTTGCTCACTCAACCTCCTGGCACTCTGTGCCAGGCACTCTGTGCCAGGAGCAATTGGGCACAATCAGTGCCTCTCTTACCCCTGGTTAGAGACAAGGAAATCAGCACACAGAGAGGTCGTGTGACTTTTCCAAGGTCACACAGAAGACAAGTGGCAGGAGGCAAAGTCCTAGCTAGACCTGCATGGGCAGCACTGAGCCTTCTGCCCTTCGAGGACGTCAGTTTCCAAGACAACTGATGGTGAAGTGCCGACTGAACCCAGAAAAACACCCCAGCCCTGCTGAGGGTTACCGTCTGGTCTGCTGTCGGGGTAACAGGAGGACCCTCATCAGGGGCCTGGCGTGAGGACGATCCTGAAGGTCACATAGTAGGGAGACTAAGGCAACTGTCAGAAGCCACCCAGCAGAAAGAGGCAGCGCCTGTGGGAGGAGGGAGGGGACCTGGCGGGCACCTATTGCGGAAACTCACAAGTGAGCAGGAAGCCACAGCCCACCCTGGGCCTGCCCCCTGATGCTATGTGACCTCGGCAGCTCCTTCTGTGCTTGTGCCTCCATTTCCCCAAATGTAAGGAAGGGCAAATGAGCAAGGAGCCAGCAAGGCGGTGAGAGAGGGCTTAGCCCATAGTAAGTGCTTTATAAACAAGGGTTATCGAGTGAACAGCTGGCACCACACCACTACACGGACCTCACAGTCAGGCACAGACCCTGCTGTGGGGGTGGGGTGCGTGGGGAGCAGGGTATGGAGCCAGTGGATGAGTGCAAGATCCCCGGGCCTGTGTGGCCCTGTCATGGGCTGTGGACACTGTGGCAACAGCAGAAATAAAGGACCAAGAAGGACAGAGCAGCCCCTGGCTATGCCCTAGCCCTCACCGGGGAGAGGGCAGGCTGGCACCCGCCACCCTGCTGCCAACCAGGGTCCAGCATGCAGGCCAGCCTCTGGCTCGCTCAGCAGTGAAGCTGATATGGGCGATACATTCTTATAGATAATTTGGGGAGCTCAACGTGGCCAAAGAGTTGTGCACAAGTGCAGCTCCTCCTCCAGTTCCCCCCTCCCTCCCGGCCTCCTTCCCTCCCACAGTGTGGAGAGCTCTACAGGGTGGGGGCCTAGGGATGGGAAGTTGCCCCCTTCAGTTCACTGTGTCCTTGGGGAGGCAGCTGGCCTCAGGGTCCCTGCGGGGAGACCGGGGTTCACGCTCAGCAATACAGGCATTGGGAGGCTCTGTCCAGGAGCGAGCCAGCGTCTTAGTTTATTTCCCCAAGAACATAACAGTCCGATGGCTCTGAGAAAGGTGGACAGCAGAGGGCAGAGGGCAGGAAAGCTGGGGGACCAGGCAGGAGGCGGTCGGGGGTCCACCTGGGGATGAGGGCAGGTCTGCCTAGAGCACACACCTCACCTGCAAGGCCAGTGCCAGGCAGGGCGAAGGCAGGCCCCCCACACCCTGCAGGGACACCCAGACTTGGGGACGGGCTCCCACACCCAAGAAGTTCTGGGTGATGAACAGGGAAAGGGAACGCCCCCAAATTGGCGAGCAGGGCTTTCATTTTAGTAGAGGAGGTGGTGGTGAGAACAGAGCCCTGGGGCTGATTTCATTTGTGAATTCCTATCATTTCTAGATTGGCGTTCTGAAAACCGTCCTCCCTGCTCGCTCGCAGGCGAGAGACAGAGAGGAGGGAAAGATGACAAATGAAAAGCAGAAGCAGGAGCAGCCCGAGATGGGAGGGCGTTTCTGTTCCGCTGGGAGTCCTCTCAAAGTCACAGGCTGCCGCCGGCCCCTCCCAGGTAACCGTACCTCTGCCTCCCAGTCCCGCCCCCGGCCTTCTCCCCACCCCACCTTTGGGAAGTAGCCTGCAGGGTGACCCCGGCTCCTGCCCGAGGGTTTCCCGCCCCAGTGAAACCCCAGCCCTGTGACTTTCCCTTTAAGAGCTGTCAGAGCCAGGAAGGCCGGCCAAGCCCGGGCTGGAGGTGGGGACAGAGGCAAGAAAGAAAAAAAGGGAGGCAGGAAAAGTTTTTTCAGAGGAAAATGCAGGGTTTGTCCTTGCCCCTGACGTCAGCTCTCGCTTTCATAAACCCCCCCAAGGGCTGCTGGAAGAGGCATAGCTGGTGCTCCTGATGGGCAAGCCAGACTGGACCCAGCTCCCCGCGAGGTGTCCGGCTCCTCTGGGCTGCGCGGTGGATGCTTTGCCACTAACTTCCAGGCATGAGGTGGTTCCTGCCCTGGATGCTGGCAGCTGTGACAGCAGCAGCCACAGGCGGTGTCCCGGCCATGGTGAGTCTGCCCGCAGGGACGCGGAGAGGAACCGGGTTTCCTTCTCAATGGGTCCTGCTGCCTGGGGGGTGGGCGGGGGCAGGGTGAGGGCTGAAATGGGGGCAGGAAGGGAGGTGCCCACTCAGGGGCAAGGGTGAGGCCGAGGGTCAGGCCCAGGGCTGATCCTGGCAGGGTGAGGAGCCAGGGGCAGCACCTGGGGAAACCCATTTCCCCACCTGGATGCTCCCCCACCTGAGCGCAGCAGGAAGGGGCAGGAGGCAGAAGTAGGTCAGGGGGCCTGGACTCCCGACCCAGCTCTGCCCAGACTGGCTGTGTGGCTGCGGGTCCGTCGCTCACCCTCTCTGAGCTGCACAAAGTGAGAACATGTTTAGGATACTTCTAGAGTCCTTGAGCTTGGAAAATGAGTCTCCAAGTGCTGGAGATCCTACCCGGAGCGGAGATGGAGAAGGCCAAGAAAAGTTGGCCGGGAAAATGCCAGCTTCCAGCAGAAGCACCTCCTGAGCAGCGCGTGGGGAGAGGCTCGTCCAGCTGCCGCCGCTGCGGGCTTGCACGGGCCTCTCCGGCTTCTGCCGCGCGTGTTGAGATCCAGCCTGGGAAGCCTGCTGTTTCCCGGGGGCCCTGGGCCTTCTCTCTTTCCCACCCCACCCCAGGCACAGCCAGGGGGTGGGCAGAGGCCGCACCTCCACAGACCCCGCGGTGGAGACACGTGGCAGCAAAGTCAGCCCCCGGAGCTGCGAGGAGGCAGGCGCTGGGTGGGCAGGGGCTGGGGCGGCGAGAGCCAGGGGCAGCCGGCGAGGTGCCCTGGCCCAGGCCAGAGCCTCGGCCAGAAGGAAGGCAAGACAGAGGGAACCTGGCCGGCTGGCTTCGTGACCCGATCACCCCGACGGCTCCTTCAGCGTCTGTGTGCCCCACTGGTGCGTGAGGACACTGAGGCTTGGGCTCAAAAATTCCAGTCCTGCTTCAGCCAGACCTGAGGCTGAAAGCCGGCGCCAGCTGCGGGCTGGGCAGGGTATTCCCAGCGGGAGCCTCGATGCCTGCTTGGGGTCTCCATACTCGCATGGCCCTGGCCACCCCACAAAACGAGGTGTCAATTCCAGTTGATCAGGGAAGGAAATGGAGACTCAGAACAAGCGAGGGACTTGCTCAGGACCCCAAGGTAACAAGCGGCCAAATCCTGCTCTTCGAGAGACTTTCCAAGTTTAGACCAAACCCAGCATCCCCAGGAGCCAAACCAGCCCCTGGAGCCAAATCAGCCCTTACTGGGCGGCTGTGCTGGGAGCGCAGGGACTGGATGGGGACGAGGTGAGAGGGCTGGGGAGTGAGGTCTGAGCGGGAGGAGGAGAGAGGGAGGCCTGGGCGGGGTCCAAGTAGTCGGGCCCTGTTTCCTCCCCAGAACAGCAGTGCTGGCAGAGCAGGGGAAAGAACCCGGGTTTGGCCGAGGGGCCCGGATGCCGGGGGCTGAGGGTCCAGACAGACCCTGATGGTGGGATGGATGGGGCGGGGGGGCGGGGTCTGTCCCTCTGAGGACCCCAGCCTGGGGGCCATCTTTGGGGCCCCAACACTTCCCAGCCCATAATTACCTCTAATGCAGGCACTCTCAGGGCACCCCGACACCCCATGAGGCCTCAGACACATGGTAGCAGCGCTTCGCTGGATGCCAAAGCCCGACGCGGCACCCTCCCCAAACTAACATGTAAAGCGAAAGCAAGTCCAGGCGGGGTCCCAGCGGGGCTTCAGTGGAAAAAATGATCATAGATGCTCATATGGAAGAAAAGGTTGCCAAGAAAAGCGTCTCAGAAGCAGCGAGCAGGAGAACTCGCCCAGCAGATGTGCGAGCGTGAGCGGAAGGGCCCGTAATTGAGGGAGGAAGATGCCAAGTCAGGAAGGGAGAAAGCCAGAGGCGAGCGTGGCTGGGGTTTAATAGGCGATGAGGATGCAGACGTGCCTGGCCTCTCTGGCCCTTTGTTCCTCTCTCTGTGCTGAGCACCTACTATGGGCTACGCGAAGGGGCTGCCTTTTGATAACTGCCAAAGGCGGCGCCTGTGAAGGTGGAAACGGCCCTCCCTCTCCAACAGGCGCTCATGAGCACTTATTAGCCACCTCCTGCCACTCTCACCAGCACGATGGAGTGGAGGTAATTATCCCTCTTTGTGGATGCAAAACGCCAGCTCAGAGAGGGTAAGTCATTTGCCCAAGGCCACACAGCTTGTGGTCATCTGTGGAGTTGATTTTGAATCTAGAGCCTGCTCTCCGCCTCCCTGGAGCACACACTAGTGCAGAAATGAGAAGCGCCCTCCCCTCAAAGCATACAGGCCAGTGAGGAGGGAAAACGTGGGAGTGAGGGGTGACAGGGGGATGCAGGAGACACAGGCGGGTGCAGGCTCTGCTGCTGATGTTGCCAGCTTCAGGGCCCCAGCTTCCCTTGCCTGTTAATGGATCGGCCACCTAAGCCCACCAGGCTCCCGCCAATGAGCAGGAAATGTGGGGCGCTTGGAGGGGAGCCTCAGGGTCTGTCTGGCTAAGCCAAGGCTGTGCTCATTAACTCCCGGGCAAGCACTAGGTGTGCACAGGTGAGCCCACATTCCTCTGAGGTGCATGTGCACAGGTGTGAGTGCGAGTCTGAGATGCTGGTTGTCCTGAGTGTGGAACGCCCGTGGTGTGTAAGTGCCCGAGGGTGCACGGGGAACGCAAGTCACCCCCTGCTCCTCGGACCCAGTGCGGAACGATGCGAGTCGGGCAGTGTCCTAAACACTCGGCATAACCAACCCACTTGAAAGCCACACTGGGGGCGGCCAGAATCCCCAGGGGCCACGCCTGCGTGTCTGTTCATCAGCCGCTGGTCACATGAGGCTGCTGAGCCCTGAAATGCGGGTACCCCAAATGAGATGTGCTCTAAGCGTAAAACACACACCGCATTTCCAGAGTACAAGAATGTAGAATTCTCATTATGAGCTTTTCTATTGACTCCAGGTGGAGATGACATTTTTAACATATTGGGTTAAATGAAATATGTTGTTCAAATAAATTTCACTTGATTTTTATTACTTTTTAAGGTGGCCGCTGAAAAATTTAAAAATATAAATATGGTTCACATGATGTATTTCTGCATAGTGTCGACCTGGGAAGACACACATGTACGTGGAGGGATTGTAATGTGTGTGTGTGGGGGGGATATTGAGGATTCTAATCCCAGCTCCTCCATGATGAGCTGTGCACCCTCGGGTAAGTAAGCCAGCCTTTCTGAGCCAGTTTGTTCCTCTGCAAAAAGGCATAATAGTAGACTTGCCCCTCGGGTTGCTGGAGACAGGAAGAGTGAAATGGAGATAAGTGGAGTGAAGAGACCCTGGGGACACCGGGCTAATTCCCATTGTTCCAAGAGCACAGGGAGGGGATTCCGGCTCCCCCGGGGAGCACAGTCTGCAGGCTGGTGCCAGGCTGAGCTGGTGTGAAGGGTGACAAAGATCCTGGTCTCAGCACCAGGAGGATGGACAATTGGAGGGCTGTGCTGGGCTCAACTCTGGGGCATCTTCTGAAGAGCCCAGGGTTTCCACGTCCTGCTGGCCTTCCCAGCACACACGAGGCTGTGAGCACTCCTGGATTATCCTGGAGGAGAGAGAAACATGGTGATGATGATGATGGAGGTGATGACGGTGGTGACAATGAAGGAGGTGATCATGGTGATCATGGGGATGGTGATGATGATGCTTGCAGAGGAGACTTGCATCCTACAACCCAGAGCCGGGCTCCCTTGACCCGAGGGGTTTCGTGGCCCATCTGCCTACTTGTCCTGTGGACGCTGCAGCCGGGCTCTGTGCCCTGCCCTTCCTGTTTCTAGAGCTGTGGGATAAAGGGTCCACCTGGCCTTAAATGCGTGGTTCATGTGTTGGGGACAGACTTTTACACTAGCAGAGCGGAGCGTGCAGGGGCTTCTGGGAGGGGAGCTCAGGGGACTGTGGGGAAAAATAGCAACTCCGGGTCCCTGAGCTCCAGTTCCTGGGGAGACCCCAGGCACCTGCGCGTGAACGAGTCTTACGTGCATTTAGGCTCAAACACCAGAGTTACACAGAAGCTCCTCTGCTGTCCAGCCCTGACCTGCTGTGGGCAGCAGCTCTCCGCCCCTCCCCCCGCCTCCTCTGCTCCCTGAAAGAAGAGAGGGGGAGAGGGAGACAGAATCAGAGAAGGAACTGGGCCTCTCAGAACATGAATAATGGACATTCCAGGGGATGTGATAAAATCCACGCCACCCACCCCAGGCCCCTATCTGGAGACAAGTCCAGACTTGGCTCTGCTAAGCTCTGGGGGGGAGGCGGGGGCAGGGAGGGGGCGGAGATGCGATCCCAGGCCCCAGGAGAGAGGCCCCCGGGTCCTGCTGAGCCTGGAGCTCCCTGGAGCCTGCCCAGGGCTGGCTGGGGGCCGGGAGAGGGGTATACAGGGGAGGGGTATCCTGAGAGGGCAGGGGCTGTCCTTGGGCAGGACAGCAGGTTTCAGGACAGCTGGGACCAGCGCAGGCGGCACATCACCTTGACTTAGGCTTCTTGGCCCCACCCCCCACCCCCACCAGTGCTCACTTTCAGTCTTGACATGGCGGCGGCTGGACTGGCCCTTGGCACCTGAGGCCCTGGGCCCTGCTCCGGCATCCCCTGGGTGGCCCACCCTTCCCGGCGCGGGCTCAGCTGCCATCATTCTTGCAGGGGGCTCTCACTGCTGCCGCTCTAGAAAGGGTGTCATTGGCCATTGTGCCCGAAAAGGGGGGCCATGCTCTGGGAAGTCCCTCTAGTCATGCTTCCTCCATTCAAGGTGACTCCCAAATTCTCTGGCCATGAGCCCTGGCCTGCTATGACCATGTCCTTGAACCCTAAGACCAGGCAAAACTGGCCACTGGCCATTCCAGGCCCCTGCCACACCCTGTGCGTGCTGACTCGGCCAGGATACTGTCTCTGCTCTTCTTCTAGTTCTCCTCATTCATTTTTTAAGATACAGTATAAATGCCTCCTCCTCCAGGAAGCACTCCCTGCTCCTGCCTCTTTCTTCTGTCACTTTCCCCCCCAACCCTCCCCTAGATTCTTCTGAGACACCCTCAGGATGGTGCCTGAAGACACTGGAGGGTTCAAATCCCAACTCTGCCCTTTGAGAGTGCCCCCGGGCAAATGCCAATCACCTCTACCCTGTGGGAATGTGAACATGGGCCCACAAAGATGAGCTTGTTTTAAGTGTGCTTGTCTGCAGGGCTGGCCACTGCCTGCGCCTGAGATGCACTCTCCGAAGCTCATTTGGCTGCCCCGCTCCATCATAGAAGTTAGCAAACATTTACTTTCCATAAACGCTCCAGGGTAAATATTTCAGGCCTTGTGGACTTTAAGGACTGCGTGGAATATCCGGTTTTCTCTCTCTCTCTCTCTCTCTCTTTTTCACAAACTTTTAAAAATGGAAAGAGCATCCTGAGCCCCTGTGAAAATTCCGTGGATAGATGTGGCCCGTGGGCTGCGGTTTGCGAGCCTCATCCATGACCCAGCAGTCCTTTCAGCCCCTGTCTTCTCAGAAGCCTGGGTGTCCCCTGAACTTCGTGCCTGGCTCTCAGCAGGTGCTTTATGTCTAAACACAGGAACACAAGTGGCTCAGCTGGAAAGCAGCCCAGCTTCCTGCGCTTTCTACTTTCTCTAAGAGCCAATTAGCAGGAAATTCCCCCAATCTTCCACGTCCTTCAACTCGCAGCCTGGCCACCCTGGGGTCCGCTGGAGTCTCCGTGTCCCTGGAGATCTGCCATGGGAGCTGAGCTCTGAGCAGAGCTGGCTCCTCTAAACCCTGGGCCAGACTTCAGGGTGAGAGCTAGGAACTGAGGGCGTTCTCAGCGGGGCTGGGGAATAGGTCCCTAGGGGTACGCTCCTAGGAGGCCCTCAGAAAATCGTGTCCACCTGCTCATACGTGGCTGACAGTCTGTTGCACCAGATGTGAGAACAGAGCATCACTGAGTGTGGGCCGGACCATATGCCTCCGCAGCGCTGGGCCCAAGCTCTGGCCGTATCCTCCCACTCTCCCTATCCCCGCGGCCTCCCTTTTCAGTGAAGAAATGAGCAGACAGTGCTTCCAGGACATCCCTTTCTTCAACCTTCCCTGCTGCCTCAGGCCATTTCTGTCTCAACCCTGCCCCCCGGTGGAAAATGTAGGTACAACCTCCCCAAAGCAGGAGAGCCAGGCTGGGGACCATGCCCTGGCCCACGGAGAGCTTGGCCAGGGCGTGGCAGCCCAGTGCTGGGCACCAAGGAGGTGGGACAGGGCAAAAGCTCCAGGAGCGGCTCAGCTAGAAGGACTGGAGCCAAATATACAGAGAGTGGAGTGCCTTTTAATCTTTTAACAAGATCCATAGGTCAGTGGTCTACAACCTTTGCTGCCTCAGAAGTTCTGGAAAAATCCCAGGCCACTTATGTCAGGAAGTTTGGGGACAGTGGCCAGCATCAACGTTTATTAAAGCTTCTGGGTAGTGTTAGCATGTAGTGAAGTTTGGTGACCACAGTGGGAGGGCCTCCGATGACAGCCGGCTGTTAGGGGTCACTGGGGGCTGTGGGGAGAGGTGGGGTATGGCTGCGCGAGCTGAGCAGGAGGAAGGGAGCAGCTCAGGCTGTGGCACAGGGGCCACATCACCAAGGGGGGTCGCCTCCACCACCCCTCCTTCTCCCAGACACAGGCTGTCGGCCAAGGCTGACGGGGAGCCAGCCATGAAATGGGTGCCTGGCGGCTGCTACGACTCTACTTACCATGCTCACAGTGCCGGTCTTCACAGTTGCTCCCCACACCTCCTCCCCAGAAGCCCTGGGGATCCCTGCAGACCCCCAGGCAGGTCGCTGCTTCTTCCCTCCGTGTCCCTGCTGCAGGTCAGCACTGAGGACTGGGCCTGGCTGGAAGCAGAGCTGCCTGGAGGACTGGGTGCATCGTGGCCAGAGGGTGGAGGAATGAAGGATGGACAAAAGGCAGGTGCCTTCTGTCAGCAGCGGCCTCCGTGGATCACAACTGCCACGTCAGAGTCCTCTGGCCTATGGGGGATGGCTAGTGAGGGCAGGGGCTGGGGCTGGGTGCCCTTCCTCCCGCAGGGCCTGGCACAGTGTTCCCTTCGCACCTTCCCTGCAGTGTGTGGAATGTGTGACTCCATCTGCATCCCCCTCCAAGCTGTCCACCCTAAGGCCAGGAACCAAGCAGCCACCTGCTGCAGGTGGGCATTCCAAAGACTGGTTCCCAGGAGGGGTTCGGACTTACTGATAGCCTCTGTCACCCCCCGCCCCGGATTGTCTGTGTTGGATAAGGCAGCCAGGAGTCAGAGGGTCAAGCGCCAAGCCCCAGGGTGCAGTTCTGGTCAAGGACCTTCTCCCCTGGACTGTGGGCTGGGAATGTCCCACCACTAGATGGCGCCAACAGCAAGGGCTCAGCTCCGCGGACCTCCACGCCCTGCTTCCCAGTCCCAGGGAGGTCCCTGCTGAGCCCCAGCCTGGGGGGCCTGCAGGTACTAGGAAGGGAGGCTTCCTTCTGGGCAGCTTTAAACTGGTTGGAGACAGCAGGGTGGACAGAGACCTTATGAAGAAGGGTACCCACCAGATCACAGCCTGAGAAGCTCAGCTCACTGCCCAGCTGGGCTGGGGAGGGGAAGGAGAGGAATGCCAGGCTTCTACGTGCATTGTGCCCCTAACCCCCCAGCCACTCCCAGAAAGGGACAATACGTCACTGTAGCACAGATGGGGAAGTCAAGGCCCAGAAAGCTTAGGAAGTTTTCCAAGGGCACAGAGAAAGCCCCTACTTCTCAGTTCCCTGTTCCTCTCTCGGCCCTCAACCTCAACCAGAGCTGGGAGGACACCTTCCAGGATCAAGGGAGGGTTTCTAAATATCAAGTGATGTCACAGACCCATTGTGATGGGGAATCCCACATCCCTGCCACCAGGCAGCCCCACAAAGTGGTGTCTCAAGTGCACAGAGAAGTCAGGGACAGATATTGCCCTTTACCAGTTCACATTCCAGTAAGGGGGATGGCCTCTCTAACATGGTCTGGGGAAAGCATGGAAGTCTTCCTGGAGGAGAGGGCTTTTCTATTTCCTTTACCAAGAGCGTGTCCTGATGGCTTGGGGATTGGTCAGAGATGATCTGTGAATTCTCATGAAGCTCTGAGTCTTTTAGGGTCATACATAGACACGGAGTCTCCATGGAGTCAGAAAAAAGGGTGCATGCGTTGGAAAGGGACTGGTAGCTTGGTATCATTGGTTTGAGGGTTTGAGGTTTTGTTGTGTTGTGTCTTTGAGGAAAAGCAAATGAGGGGAGGCAAACTAATGGCTCCTGGGTGGACCAGGACCAGCTCTGCCCACCCTCAGCGCTCTTTGTTCCTACCAGCAAGGCTTCCCCAAACCACGTCAGCTGAGAAAATGAAAAGATACGAGCATGATTCTCTGCCATCCTGGGTCTCTGTCTCTGGTCCAGCAGAGAAGCTACCTGTCTGTCCCCAAAGCAGAAAGGACAGGGCAGGAAGGAGGGAGAGGTTCAGTGACATCTGGAGAAACAAGGCCCAGGCCTTCCTCCTATGTGCTTCTGTGGGTCAGACTCTTTGTGGGGACCAACCCGACGCTGCTCCCCATGGAGCTCACAGGTGTAACCCTGCAGAACTCACAGGCATGCAGCTAATTACTAACATGCAGAGTAGAGTGTCTGCCAGGAGGTGTCAGGAATCCCCAGGCCCAGGGGGGTCTCTTCAGTGGTGGGTATTTAAGCTGCAGCCTGAGAGCAGGTGCCAGGTGAAGGGAGGTGGGAAGAGCATTTCAGCCACAGGGAACCACATGAAGAGTCTCCACTCGATTAGATTCAGACAATTGATGTTGAGCTCCAGGCTCTTTGGTTCTACTGGTTTTGAGAAGAAAGGCGACATCTGGCCATGAAAAGCATGGTAGGAAAATAAAATGTTATGCAAAGCTGTTTTTTAATTTATTTTATTTTATTTTATATATTTTTACATCATTTTTCATTTTGCACAATGGATGCATTTTCATCTTGGTTATCTTCCCCGTACAATTTCCACCCCCCTTATTTTGACCCTAATCCCTCCTACCTCCCCAGTGTGTCTTTGTTTTATAGTTGCTTGTTGATTTTGATTTCTACATTATTGTAATTAGTCTTTTTCCTGGTCCCTTATTTAGGTTTTCTAAATTCCTGCTATGAGGGAGACCATCGGTATTTTTCTTTTGAACACCCTGAAGAGTGGGAGGTGATTGTAAGCCCCTTGGGCTTTGAATCTCCTGCCTTCCTTGCATCCCCCCTTTATCTCTGTCATTCCCCCATAGGACCTCTCCCCAGCTGCTACATCCATGGCCTTCACCCCAGCACCTTTGGAGGACACCTCACGCCCCCAGTTCTGCAAGTGGCCCTGTGAGTGCCCACCATCACCGCCCCGCTGCCCACTGGGGGTCAGCCTCATCACCGATGGCTGTGAGTGCTGTAAGATGTGTGCTCAGCAGCTCGGGGACAACTGCACGGAGGCCGCCATCTGTGACCCCCACCGGGGCCTCTACTGTGACTACAGTGGGGACCGCCCGAGGTACGCAATAGGAGTGTGTGCACGTAAGTGAGACCCTCCCTGCCTTCCAGTTACCCCAGCACCCCCAGCAAGGGCCAGGGCCCCCCCGCACTGCCCTCCCTGTGGCCAGGATCCTATATCCAGTCTGTGATTAAAGGGCTGGGCCATGCTTGAGGCGGTAGCAGTGCCTTCGTTCCCCTTGCCTCTAAAACTGGCTTCTTGCTCTCTTCTCAGCCCTTAGAGGTGCATGTATGGCTGACCCCAGTGGAAAAGGAGTCACCAGCGATGCCTCCTGCCTAGTTTCCTTATTTGCTGATGCCCATGGTCTCTCAGGGCCACCTGTAGAGCTCTGGATACTTTAGTATTATTGTAAATTCAAATAATATGGCTTCAAATACATCAGCAGCATTGAGAGAATAAAACCTAGCAGACTGCACTCATCGCTTCCTACCATCCAACCACATTTTCCCAGCTACTAGTTACTTTTAACTTTCCAGTCCTTTCTTCTGGTGGTCACCACTATATAATACATGCCTTCTGTTAAATCTTGATTGACTTGAAATATCAATTTTGGACAATCTATTAATGATCTTATATTATAGTTGGTTTAGCTCCTCAATACTACCTGTCATCTTCCCTCTCTTCCAATATTGCTGTCATACTTTTTGGTTATACAATAATTCAGTAGTTACAATATTACAACTATGTAAATATTGTTTGCAGCATGAGACAGCATACTTGCTTGAATTTCCATCCTTATGAAGTCTTTGCTTTTCCTGGGGTTTTTAATTGCCTTTGTTTTTTCTTTACTCTTCATCTTCATAATAGCCCAGTGTTGGGAAGGGGGCTGTTGTTTGTTGTTTTCTCTTTTTTGTTCCCAGAGACCACTTTTCTGGGGATTTCTGATCTGTTTCTCTCTGGATTGATATTCACTTAGTGTGAATCATCTAAGCTTTTATCTAAGACACATGACCCAGCATGGTGCTGAGAGGTAACTAGACATCTCAGCCCACTAGCCTAACTTCTAAAAAGTTACACAAAGCCTGGTTAACTCGAGGACTTCCTCCTTCTCTTTGTGTTGAATCAAATCTTCCCTGTAACCATGACTCCATATATCCCATTATATAATCACACACAGTGTAGTCTCTCATCCCCTGCTAACCCATTCTGTTTCCTGAGAAAATTTCTCATGTGGGTTATACACATAATGCTAAGTTAGATCATCCTTTCTGTACCTCCCGGTTGTTTTATGGGGGCTTTCTGCTCTTTTATCATTGGTTCATACTTCAACTTTCATACCAACTCATCTGTCCAGCTTTCCAAGTAACCACCCTTTATAATCCACTCATTCCACTTTGTTCTTTTTATTGAGACTCATTATTACCTCCACAAAACAGTGCGTTCAAAGAGAGCTTACCACATCACCTGCACAGAATCTTAAGATGTGTTGGCAAAACATGCTTTTCCAGAGCCCCACCCCAGGGTGATGGAGTCAGAGTCTTTGGAAGTGGAGATGGGAATTACAGCTTGAACAAGCTTCCCAGTGAGTCTCATGCATGCTGTGATATGAGAGGGCTTACTAATACATAGAGTCATCCATGGACTCTCTCTCCACACCCAGCAAGGAGACGTGGCTGCATCTGCTTGCATTAGAACCACCGCTAGTTATATGACACCGTCTCATTTCCTTGCCCTTTACAGCTGTTCTTTAGGTCATTAAGGAGGTAATTCCATTCACCGCAATTAGACTAATCGCTAAAGCTTTATTGACATCTTACCCTGTGCCAGGCACCATGCTTATATAGACATTCTCTCGTGGACCCAGAGATCACGCAGAGCCTGGAACCATCCTGCCTGCCTTCCCCACCAGGGGCCTGGAAGACCACCCTCCCATCACCCTCATCTCTTTATACATCAAGTCCTGCCTTCACTCACTGCAGCCTCTTACTCCCTCTCATCACGAGTCTCGAGTATTTCCCTTCCTTTTATTTGGAAAGAAAACTCGGTCTGCAGGAGATTTTAATTGGTATTTCACTTGCCAGGCGTCCCCTGGTCATATAGGTTTGCAGACACTGGACTGAATAGTTAAACAAGTATTCTCAGAGGTTTTACATGTTTGTGTCCATTGTCAAATTCAAAAAAGGGAGTTATCATAAGAAGTCTTTTCTTTTCAAACTTAGTTACACAGTAAATTCTTTTTGTCCAGGTAGATTTTAATTCATGCAATCACTTACCCCCAATACACACACACACACACACACAGTCAGTCACACAAGCCACACTCAGTCATGGCATATGTGAACACACATACACTATTCACTAGGGTTCTACTGAACCACCCAGAATTGCTGCCATAGCATCTGAGTTCACGAGACCAGAGTGCAAGAAAGAAGACAGCCCAGGGTCTGAGAGATCGAGGGGAGGCACTCAGGGCCAGAGGGGAAAGAGCAGGAAGAGTTCCTCTAAATAGACAATATTTTAGCAAACGGCCAACTTAGCTAATGGGTAGTTCCCAGGACAGGCTAAATCTGCCCTTGCTGATGTGCATGGAAGTAGGCCAGGGCAAGGCAGGCAATAAAAACGAGCGGTTTCAATACTGGCGTCTATAACTCAAGAGGATGGTGGGACTGTGGCAAGCTACAAGCTCTGGCTAGCAGGGGTCACCTCTCTTGGGTCCCAGTCACTGCCACTAAGCAGGAGAGTGAACTTGGTCCCCACAGTGTGCTCTGTCAAGACAATCCAGATTTGTGCCTGATTTGTAAATGTTTGATGACATGCTCCAAAAGTTTTTTTAAAACATTTCTTTGGCCAAATGAAATACATCTGTGGGTAGAGAATGACCTCTGATTTAGACTCCTTGGCTATTTTGGGTGTACAAACACTAATCTGCATTTAATGAAGCGGGGTCAGGCCCCAGGGCAGTGTGGTCTGCAAAAGGATCGTGAAATTTACAAGCAAGCAGATTTGGGTTTTGAATCCTGGCTCTGCCATTTGCAGGCTACGTGACCTTGGGCACATCACTTAAGGAGCCTGATAAAACCAACTTCACAGGGCTGTTGAGAATAAACAAAGGAACACATGAAAGTTTCAAATGTGATTCACCACTCTCCATGACTGTTGAATTTGCTTTGTTTTAACTTTACCCCGTAGAGGCTATCTTAGTCCTGCCTATGGTCATCACAAGGAGGGGCAGTGCCATCTAGTCCCAGGCTCAGACAACTCAGTGTGAAGAGTCAGGAAGAAGCAAACTTCCCCAAGTCTTGAGAGACAGACCACCCAAGTCAAGCATGGGACACCATAACTAACTAGGACTGTGACTTTAGACAGGCTACTTACTTCTTAAGTATCAGTTTCCTCATCAAGGAAAATGTAACACATGATATTTAAGTCTTTGGGTGGTTGGGATATTGAATGCCTAGTAGGAGCCCAGTGAAAACTAGAGTTCACCCCACCTCACATCCATCTACCCACCATCCATCCACCCACCCACCCATCCATCCATCCATCCATCCATCCATCCATCCATCCATCCATCCATCCTCCCACCCACCCACCCACTCTGTCCATCGATGCAATGACCCACCCATTGGCTCATTCACATAGTGAACTTAGGTGAGTGATAATACAGCAATGGGGTTATGACAACGCATGATCCACTGTCTCTGCCTCCAAGCAGCTAACAGCCCATCAGGGGTGTGAGTGAAGGGAGTGAAGGACCCGTTGTTAGGAGGCTTTAGAAGTCCTTCATTAGGAATGAAGCTCACCAGGACATACCTGGATTCGCAAATCTGAGATGAGATAGATGGTAAGAGGGGGACTCGAGAGGGGGTGCAGGAGTTCGCTGTTGAGCCCGTCCACAGCCATAGCATGCATCGTATATCCCCTGGTTTCCCTCTAACCTGTGGCAGACAGGCAGGTCAGGGCCAGCAACGCCACCTCCCTGTCCCCCCACCTTCCCAAAGTTCTCCGGACACTGAGCAACTTCTAGATGCAGCGGTTCTCAATTTTGGCTGCAAATTGGATTCACTGGAGAGATTTAAAAACTATAAAGGCAAAAAAAAAAAAAATAAAATAAATGTCAAGGCCCAGGTCCACCACCATATTCTGGGGCATGGTGTGGGCATCAGAACTTTAAAAACCGCTTCACATGGTACGATGGAGCAACTGGAGGTGAGAACCACTGGGCTAGGGGCTCGCGGGCACTTTTACTGCCTTCTGTCTCAAGTTCCCACACACTGGGGTGAAGGTGTGGGTTCTGCACCCTTCCTTCCCTATCCCTCCAATGCCTGTGCGCAGGTGCATGCACACACACACCCAGGCCTTGTCCTCATGCACGTATGGAGTGTTCCTGCCCAGCCTGAGTCAAGAGGGCGCAGTCAGGGGTGACTCAGAATCCAAAAATGAATGATTCACCCAGAGCTTCCTCTGTTTTGTTTGGTTTTGTTCTTTTATTTCCCCCGATTTCCCCTCCTTTACTGGTGTCTGGTGAAAGGAAATGGGTTGGCGAGTCAGATCCCCTGGGTCTATCCCAAAGTTATCATTCACCGGTTGGTGACCTTGAGCTAACGAATCACTTGCCCTCCTTGCGCTTTCCTGTCTGCCTAACGAATAAAGCCCTGCCGGTCCCGGCTCTGGGAGAGCTGAGCGAGATAACGTATCCGAAGGGGCTGGCAGGAGATCAGATGGCCAGTGAGTGTGAGGGCCTTTCCTTCCCGGGCCTCCTCCCTGCACAATCACAGCCCAGGAAAAACAGGAGTCACACCAACATCCCACAGGCTGAGCCTCTGCTTCCTGCTGCTCCCGCATCCGGCCGGTCACCTTGGGCACGTGACTCAGCCTCGCTGAGCTCGGTTTTGCTCTATGGGGAAAACAAAGGTGAAAATGGAGTAGCCTTTCCTTGCAGGATGGAATCAGCAACACAAGAAAGCCAGACACAGAGCAAGTCGGTGCCCAAGATCGGGGGCAACGCTTAGGAAGCCTTTGCTCTGCGAGATGCAGGAATTATTAGTAGCCACGGCCGGGCCAGCCCAGGAGATAGAACAATGGCTGACGGTGGATTCCAAACTACCCCACCTCAGGGCAGCTTGTGGCCTGGACTCCCTGCCAGCACTTCCATTGTCCTCAAGGCAGAACACAGCACGCTGGGCAGGAGCCCTGGACAGTCTGGCAGCCCCGGGCTCTCCCGGCACCCCAGGCTCACAAATCCATCTCCGTCCTCGGCCTCTCGGCTGTCGCTCAGGCACCTGGTGTGCAGTGAGACACTCCTGACCTCCACCCCCCAGGCCTGCCCTCTTCAGGTCTAGAAGCAGGGGTCCTTGTGACTCCTGGTCTCCACATCCCACTCGTCAGCGCATCCTGCGCCCTTCCTTCCACACACCAGCACTGGGCCCTTCAACCCCTGCAGGGTGGTTCTGCCACAAGCATGCTCGTGCCAAGCAGCTGTGCCCGTAACTGCTGTCAGGGAGGCACCTTACCACCAGAGAAAAGAACTCATTGGTGACAATTCAGTTTCTCCATTGATGATTGAATCAACCCCCTTTGGCATTTAATGTCTTTGATCATATTAACTATCCTTGATTCTCTTTATCGATTCATATCAACTCTTCTATTCATCTAAAGTGTTTAATTCCTTTTAAGTTTGTTGTCAACTTGGTTTCATTTACCCATTCATGGAATGGGAAACTAACTCTGCATACTCACATGCTATCATTTTCATGATTATAACAGAATGTGTTTATTTATTAGACTTCTATGCATATATAGACATGTCTCTATCATATATAGTCTATCCTGGGCTCTCTGTGATATGTCTGCTCACACTCCAGTACCATGCAATCTGATTCTGCACTCTGATTTCACCCTTCTAGTAAGTTTGATCACCGAAAAATACCAAAGGAGTGTAAAAAATACTAAAAAGTCTTGGAAGACAGTTTCTTAGGTACAGTCCACACACGAAAATCAGTTCTTTACAAAGAAATGCCATGAATCCACATATTTAAAGGTATTCACATATTCAACTGTTTTACATTTTGTCTTTTTAATTATGTGATTATTTTTCATGTTTCACGATGTGCTTTTGAATGTCCCTCTGGTGCAATGGCCAGTCAGGCAGTGGGGAAACACCTGCAGCCAAGATGCTTATGGCGAAACGACCTGGAGCTTCTCCACTTGGCGCTTGCTCTCTCCCTGGTCCAGGCAGAGGCCCCTCTCACGTGCATCACTGCCTGGATGGCTGGAGGTGTCCTCCCACGCCACCCTCGTCCCCTTTCAGCCATTCTCAACTCATCAGCAGTGTTCCTATGAAGCGTAATGCATGTCATTCATTCAACAGATACTGACTGAGCACCTACTGTGTGCCAGGCATGGTACTAGGCTCTACAGGTTTGCATCTTTTTCTAAACCTACAAGAAGGCTTCTCCTCCTCTCTCCCTTTCCCAGCTCCCCCTGCCACAGTCCAGGTCTGCTCCCACCTCTGTCTGCCCTCCTGAGGGGCTCACCCCTCCCCCTCATGCCTGCCACCTTGTTTCAAGCTGCACGTGTCCCCTGCCCACCTTCCCAGGCCTCTTGCCGCCGTCAGCATTCTCCCGCATCTTTCCTCCGCCACCTCCACTAGAAGGCAAGCTCTGGAGCTTTTGTGATCCCCACTGAACCTCCAAAGCTAGGCCACCCCACAAACACACTGAATGAATGAGATTCCACTTTTCAAAGCCTCTGAACAAGTCTGCCTTGCTCAGAATGTGGCCCTAGAAGCAGATGCTTCTCAGCACCAGGCTTTGTGCCCGGTGCTGACGACAGGGCAGGATGCCAGCCCCGGGTCCCAGCCCACTGCCTTGGCACTGGGGCCTATTCAGGGACTGGGAGCTGAGGGGTAGCACCCTGCATGCCCCGGGCTAGAGTCCCACCACCGGCCCTGGCCCTGCCCTGCCCCACAGGGGGGCTCCCTGGGTGGGCGCGGTGCGGCAGCCGCAGGCTGGGTGCCAGCAGGTCTGTGTTTCCAGAGGTGGTCGGCGTGGGCTGCCTCCTGGACGGCGTGCGCTATGACAACGGCCAGTCCTTCCAGCCCAACTGCAGGTACAACTGCACGTGCGTGGACGGCGCGGTGGGCTGCACGCCACGGTGCCTCCGCCAGCGCCCCCCGCGCCTCTGGTGCCGCCACCCGCGGCGTGTGAGTGTGCCTGGGCACTGCTGTGAGCAGTGGGTGTGCGACGACGACGCCAGGAGGCCGCGCCAGACGACGCCGCTGCACACGGGCGCCTTCGGTGGGTGCAGGAGGCGGGTGCCCTCTGCTATGGGGCTCCTCTCCTCCATCTTAGTCCTCTCTCCTCCAGCTTAGTCCTCTCTCCTCCATCTTAGTCCTCTCTCCTCCAGCTTACTCTCCCTCCTCCATCTTACTGGCCGTTTACTTGCCTCCATCCCCAGCCCTCTTGGCGCCCCCCTCTCCGCTACCTGTCACACCCCTGTCCTGGAGGTGGGGACCACAGCTAGTTGGACCAGCCAAGCATGGGTCCTCCCATTGCCTGGGTGGCTTTGGGCCAGGGCAGCCCCCGCATCTCCTACTGCAGCCCTGGCCGTGCTGTCATCAGCCCGTGTAGGCCGGTGCAGGCCGAGCAGCGACCTGCTTAGTGGGGGGTACCCGCTCCACAGTGGGGGGCTCAGAACCTGCGACTGGGCTCTGACCCCGTCTGTGCCCCTCACCCCATCTTGCCTTCTGCACAGACATCCCCCTGCAGGGCAGGGACGGGCCTTTCAGCCTTGATCCCCGCACCCACAGACGCTGCGCCCACATGCAGCGCCGGTGGACGCCCCAGCCCCTCAGCGGCTCAGGTCACGCAGCCCGCTGGCTGCTGCACAGGGCTGGGGTGCAGCTCCCCGGTCTTGAACTGGGGGCCCCTCCAGCCTGCGTGTTGCCCCTGGTGACCCCAGAGGCGGAGAAGCCCAGGGCCACCCCTTCCCTGGCACATGCTGGGGAGCCGCCCCCTGCCCTGTGGGGTCGGACTCCCCCCCTCTCCTTCTGCGGTCCAGGGGCCCCCCTCAGCGCGGTGGGCACGGGTGGGGGCAGGACGTTCACCCCCACCCCCGCCCCCCGCAGCGGCCGCGGTGGCAGAGCCCTGGCACCGGAACTGCGTGGCCCACACCAGCCCCTGGAGCCCCTGCTCCACCAGCTGCGGCCTGGGGGTGTCCACGCGCATCTCCAACGCCAACGCCCGCTGCTGGCCTGCGCAGGAGAGCCGCCTCTGCAACCTGCGGCCCTGCGGCCTGGAGCTCCACCAGCACATCAAGGTGGGTCCCCCGACGCTCCTGCAGCCCAGCCCGGCTCCAAGCCTGGCCCCGCATGTCCTCACACGGTGGTAAAATGGGGTGAAGGGGCCCACCTCCCAGCAGTTGTTTGAGACAACGTGTGCCTCTGGTGGTCGGTGTCGTGTGAATTGCACTCAGTGATTGCTGTAGTATTAGAATCAAGGGCCTCCCTGGTGGCTCAACCTCCCAGGTTGAGCGCCGCGCTGTGAAGCTGTCTGCAGCCTCTGCAGCACGGGTTCGATCCCGGCCAGCCAGGGAGAATCCCACACGGCGCGGCAGACCTCTCCTGTCTCGCCCGCTGCTCCCCTCAGCAGTATATTTCGTCAGTCTACCTGTTTTGCTCCCCGCTCTGTCTCTGGTGAATCCTCTCACCCTCCCGCACATCTGGTCTGTACCCCGTTCTTGTATGAAAGAATAAATAAATCTTTAAAAAAAAATCAAGGTCACCCCCTAGAAAACTCCTGACTCTCAGGGGTGCTGCCCTGTGATGGCTCTGAGGGCCCCTCACCCCTGCTGCTCTCCCTCTGCTCCAGCCCAGACTCTGTCCCTGGGATGATAGTCACACGGGGTGATAGGGGCCAATGAATGGGGCTTGGGACTGGTATCGGGGCCCCTCGGCTGCTGACCACATGGCGCTGGGACTGTTCTCACCCCTCTGAGCCCCAGGCCCCTCGTCCATGAAACAGAGTTGATCGAAGCTCCTCTTGCAGGTCGGAGAGGCAAAGAAAGTTAAAATGAAGGCTGAAGGGTGGTGGGGACCTCGAGGCTCAGACCCAGTCCTCAGCTAGAAGTGGATCTGGCAGGGACCGCAAGGCCCCTCACTTCTGCCTTAGGATTGGCCGTGGGTGCTCGTGTCCTGTAAAATAAAAACAAGTAAGGATTCAGCACTGATTCCATTTGGGGGCCACGGATGGTTCCTCGGGGATGCTGAGGAGAGGGTGGCCCAGCTGCCCACAGTCCTCCTTAGAGATCAGACATGCCCCCTGTCCTCTGGACCTGCCCCCCCCCATCATGTGTTCAGCTGGACCCTCCTTCTCTCTTCTTCCTCCTCCTCCTTCTCTCTTCTTCCTCTCTGACTCTCCTCCCTGCCACCGTCCCCTGACATTCCTGCTGCTTCCTGCGCATCCGTCTCTCCGTGGACAAGTCTTCACTGAGGCATGACTAGGAAGGTCACCGCAGCGGGACGCCAGAGCAGAGGTCCTGAGCTGGAGCATGCGCCGTGCAGTGGGGGGAGATGGAAGGGGGCTGGTCGTGACTCGTGATCCCTGCTGCATTTTGTTTCCATCATAGGGTGCCCTAAGAGGACTCCCCAAATTGTCCAAGAGTCAGGCCCCCCAGAGTCTGCATCTGCTCCACTCCCAGTTCTGGTGGGATGCTGGTCCACAGTAGACCCCGAGATCCATTAGCCCAGGGAGTGTGTTGCGAGTGCCCTCTAGGCACCAGGCACAGATTTGGATGAAAGAGCCCCAGAAAGAGCCCCAATCTCAGGAGACAGAGTGGAGGCCCAGCTCAGTGCAGAGACAGATGCTTGAAAAAAGCTGTGCAGTGGAGCGAGCTGTGTGATGAGGCGGGGCAGTGTGGGCAGACCAGGGGGAGGTCAGGGTAACGAGCATCCCCCAGTCATGAGGCTGGTTCTGCCACCACCTATCTGGGGGCGTGGGGAAGGAGCTGTGAAACCCTCCATCCCGGTGAGACTGACAAAGGGCTGGACTTTGTGGAGCAGAATCGAAGGTGACCAGGGAAATGGCAGGCTTGAGACACCACCTGGACCGTCTGTGGGCCTCACTTTGCCCCAGGTCCTCTGGCTGGTTCTTCCTGTATTTGCATGAGTCCTCCCTAGCTAGCCCTTCTGGAAGTGAGGCGGAGCACTCCCCCAGGTGAGCGAGAAGCTCTGAGACTGACACCTCCTGTCCTGCAGGAAGGGAAGAAGTGTTTGGCCGTGTACCAGCCAGCGGCGCCCGTCAACTTCACCCTCGCCGGCTGCGTCAGCACACGCTCCTACCGGCCCAAGTACTGCGGGGTCTGCACGGACCACAGGTGCTGCATCCCCTACAAGTCTAAGACCATCCGCGTCTCCTTCCAGTGTCCCGACGGGCCTGGCTTCTCCCGCCAGGTGCTGTGGATTAACGCTTGCTTCTGCAACCTGAGCTGCAGGAACCCCAACGACATCTTTGCAGACTTGGAATCCTACCCTGACTTCTCAGAAATTGCCAATTAGGCAAAACCACGGGATCAGGGAGCTGGCCCAGTGCTTGCAAAGACTCCCGCCCTCTCACACCCACAGTCAAGCCGCGGCCAGCCCACTTCCCGACCACCTCTAACTGCCCTGATCCAGACCCTTGGCCCTGTACTGCCTCTGACCACCAGGGACCCAAGGGGGCAGCTTGGGCCCAGACTCTGGTCCCCAACTTGAAAGCACCCCACGTACACACCAAAGAAAGTGCCTCTCTTGAGCTGTCTGGACAATTCCCCGAGTGGACCTGGCCTGTCCAGATTACCAGAAGTCCTGCTGGTTCTTGCTCGAGTCACACGGAGCAGAATCAACTTGACATCTAATATTACCAATTCCCTTTTAATTTTATTTTGTTTCTTTTCTTAAACGGATTCCCTTTTTATTTTATTTCTTTTTTTTTTTTAAACTAACTCCTTCTTTATATGTCAACCACAGATACTTTGTGTTCATGGCACAAATAGATAGACTATTTAGGACAGTGGAACAACCTCAGAAAGAACAGACAGTTGTGACCACAGTATACTAGACTATCTCTGACTTCTAGATTTCTGCATCCCTGGGTTACCAGATATTTGCCAAGTGGGATGAACGGTTGCTTGGCTCTGATTGTCAGTGGAAAATTGTGTCTATTGACCAGGGCATCGTTGAGGTTACGTTTCTCTTCACTCACACACCAGGAAGGGTACAGATGGTCTTCGTTCCAGTTGGAAATGCAATTTGATAAAGCTCATTCTTGTTCATAGGAAAACCCAGCTTTCCAGGGTCAGAACGGGGCCAGCCAATTTTCAGAAGGGCCATCGGAGCCCAGCACCAAATTTTCCTCCAGTCAGGGTCCCCTGCCTACTTGTGGGGGCATGGGAGCTAGTAGGGCCTCCAGGATGGCCTCTCTGACCCAGGACAGTGGTGTCCTGGGACATTCCCCAGCTGCTTGGGAGACTCAGCTGAACTCCAGGTCAGACCTGCCTGAAATGACAGAGGTGGTCCAGGCGGGGTGTGGGTCAGTCCAGAAAGTGGGTTCACTCTGTGTCTGCCTGGGGTGGCACAGCTCGCTGGACCCTGAACATGTGTCTGTCTGCCACAGTGACCCGTTTCAAAGACTCGGGTCTGCAGACCCCATCAAGTTTCCTGTGTGAAGACAGGGGTTTACCAGCTTTTTAGAAACAGAAGTCCATGTAATGGGGGCTAAAAGCCAAAAAGAGTTGAAGCTAAAAGAAAGAGACAGTTGTTACTAAGGGAAACAAGGCTATTATTTATTTTATTAGTAAAGTATAAATATTTACTGTTATAATTTAATTTAGTGCCTCCTGTGTGCCAGTCACTGCCTAAGCACATGCCAGCAAGTTAAAATGTCTCCATCATGTTGAAAGGCCTGTTTTGATTTCTGCTCTTACAAGTGTGAAGTGGGAGTTCAGGAAGGTCAGGAAAAATGACCGGTATCACCTAGCTGGGAAGATGGGAATCAAATCCAAATTCAACTCATTTTCTAACTTCTCCATTGTTTTGAGAGCTTCCAAATATGTACAATGAGGAAAATATATTGAAATAAGCGATTTCTCATTTTTGACTCTTATTACTGTCTCTCTAGCCCTTTTCCCAGGAGAAGAGAGTATCTGGCTTTCAGGTGATTTAAGACAGTTGAGACCCAAAAAATTATGGGGTAGACAAAAGTCTATCAATCCCTACATGTTATCTTCCTCTTCAAATCAGAACCAGCTCTCATCCTGTATTTAAAAGATGATTTTGTTTACACAAGCTTCAGATTGAAACCATGAGGGCATTCTGTGTGGTATGCAGAGGGACCCCTAAACAAAATACTGAGCTGCTCAGATAAGCTGGTGAATAAAGGAAATTTGCATGTATTCCTATTTAATTCAGAAGCTCTCTTCTCCCAAAGTTATGTGACAATATCATTTTTATCAATGAAACTTTCATTGCTGTAGGAAAAGACACATTTAAAGAATGTCTATTTTTGTAAAAAGAAATCTGTGTGAAGAGAATTTACCCCAGACTTCTCTAAAGTCTATATGGGTCATGCTGGATTTCCTTAGAGTGCAAACACCTGCCATCTATGCATTTCCCTCTGGGCCTTGCTGAGCTAAGAGCCAACCCCTCTTAAAATTCAGCAGAAACTCCAGAGCTAGGTTCAAACTGCACTTGCATTCCAAATTAGGAAACTGAGTTTTGCTTCACAGGAAGCCTGGTGGGGGGAGTTGGCGGCTGTGCTGGAAATGGATGGCCTGGGGTGGTGGGATGGTCCAGAAAGGATTTCTTTGGAGGAATGAGCTACCGTGTGCCGGTGTCAGAGTGTAGGGGCAGGACAGGGCCACAGAGCAGGTTCTCTGATCCAGCAGACCGGGTAAAGGAGGAGAGAGTCCTGGAGACCTCAGGGGTTTTCAGGCTTTTATTGGGATTTACAAGGCATATAGGAGGCAAGGGTGCTGGGGGGCCGGGAGGCTGGCAGGCCTCCCAGCCCCCAGCAAGACTTCACTCAGTCTGGGTTCTCTAGTTCCTCTGCTTCTGCTTCTCTCGGCTTCTCTGCTTCTCGTTCTGCTTCTCTCGGCTTCGGTTAGCATTCCCGCCATGCCGCCCCTAAAAGCCCAGTCTCAGCCCAGGTGAATCCCATCTACATAGGCCCACACCCTACTCCAGGTGCCAGCCATCAGGCATGCATTTGGGACCACAGGGTTCTGAATTCTATCCTAATGGTGAGAGGGCAGAAAAGCCTGATACTTGTTACCTTACCCTACACAGAGGCAAAGCCCCAGGTCTGTGTAGGGAAGGCGTGTGGACACGAAAAAGGCAGTCTCTCTGTGGCCCGCACATGCCCTGGCTGCTCTCACTGCATTAGCCTAGAGCGTCCCTAGCTCCAAGGCGCTGCAGACATGAAAGTGGAGCCTCCCTCCAGCTAGTGCTGGCTTGGTGCTAAGTGTTTTGCTACATTTTTAATCATATTAATCACTTCAACAATTTTGAGTAAGCATATTGTCTCCATTGTCAAAGAAGTTGAGAAATCCCCCAAAAGTTTATTCCACTCTTCTTTGCTCACAGAGAGGCTTCTAAGCAGAGGCTGGACCCTGCCTCTTGGAGACTCACATTGGCAGGGAACCTGTCTGTGGCTGTGTCTCCAGTCCCTGGTAACCCCAGGGCCAGGTGGGGTCATTACACCAAAGACACCTTAATCTTCAGTGAAGAAATTCACCTTAGTGCTTACAGTGACTCTCCCTGATGTGCCTGGGATAGGGAGAGGATTCCTGCAGATCCTGGTGAGTTCACTGAACCACCCATGCTCATCATAAATGTCCTGTGAGTGAGCGCTCAGCCTGTGCGAGGCCCTTAACAGCATATCTCATTTAGCCTCCTAGTAACCCCCAAGATGGCGGATTCTCATCTTTTGCTCATTTTAGAGATAATACAGCTGAAGCTCTAGAGGGTTAGTCACTTCCTCACCTCTCACCACCTACTAAGTCCAGACCCGGATCATAAACCAAGGTGTGTCTGGCCCCTGGACCATCTCTCTGGAGGCCAAGCACAGCTGGTCTGCCCCCCAAATCAAGGGCAAGAGGTGCTTCACTGACCACGGCTGCAATGTCAGCTGTGAACGTGACTCAGAGAGTGGTCAAGAAAGTCATTCCCAATGCCGTGATTGTGTGTGACCTCAACACCAGCCCGTGCATGCGCTGGAGGCACCCGTGTCCAGTATGCTAAGTGATGTCACTGCTTATTCAAGGCCTCTCTTGATGCAAACTGGCTGAGACGGTGACCGGCCGGCTGGGGCCCTGCCTGACTGGACAGGAGGTTTGTCGGTGTCCAGCCACACGACTGGACAGGAGGTGTGTCGGTGTGCGTGTCTGTACACGGAACGCCTTCTTCAAACTGTGCCTTCATATTTAAGTATTCCAACTGCCATTTTGTGACTACAAAATACATATAAAGAAATACCTTGCAATTTCCCAATAAAGGAAAAATAGCACTCGGGCAATCTGTCATATTTTACATGTTCCTCGTTTTCCTCATGATTTGCGTCGCGTGGAACTTGTTTGTTCAACGTGAAGGGTTTTTATTGCTCAAATTCCCTGTTTATAGCTCTCCTCCTCACAGCAATAAATCATGTGCAAGCCGACTGACTGGATATGGTGGGGTTTTGTATATTCAGTTATTACGAGGTGATGAGCACCAGGGACCTTCAGCAAATGTGCAGATGGCAGCAATTAAGCTCCAGATAGTTTAGCTCTGGTGACAGAAACAGCTGAATGTTTGGAGCGGGACTTAGAGATCTGATCCTGGAATTCACAAGAGACGGAGCTCCATCTGCGTCTGGGCAGGAAGATACCGCCTGTCGATACAGGGTGGACATTTTAGCTTTCCTTCCATCAATCATTCACTCACTCATTTGTTCAGTGCTTTCCTACCCTCCCCCCCCCCCCCCCCAAGGCTGGCTACCTTGAGGTGAGGACTGAGGAGCAGGGCTGGCTGGCTGCACAGACACTTGGAGGGAGTGTTCTCTGCCGGCTCAGGAGCCAAGCAGGGTTCGGAGAACAAGAAGCTGAGGGAGGCGGCATGATCCAAGGGGAAAGTTCTGACTTGGGGAGCTGAGTGGGTCTTTATTCCTGACTGGAATCCTCACTGAGGCTGTTTCCTCAGCTGTGGCGAGGATAGCGTCTGCCTTGCGGTGATGTGGTTAAATACATATTGCACGCAAGGTTTTAGAATAGAGCTTGACACTTAGCAAGCCCTGGATGCCGCTGTTGTTAGCGAGTCTCAGTTTCCTCATAAGCTGGTGATCATCCGCTGTAGTGAGAACTGGGGTGTAGGGTAAGGTAAAAGCATCAGGCTTTTCTGCCCTCCTGCCATTAGGATAGAAGAGAGAACCCTGTGGTCCTGAACGCATGCCTGATGGCGGCACCCGCAGTGGGTCCACCTGGGCTGAGAGACTGAGTTTATAAGGGCGGCGTCACGGGGACGCCAGCAGAAGCCAAGAACAAAAGGAAGCTGAGAGAAGAAGAAGAGAAGCAGAGAGAAGGCCGGAGAGCCCAGAGAGAGTGAGGATTTGCTGGGGCTAGGAGGCCTGCCAGCCTCCCGGCCCCCCAGCACTCCTGCCTGCCATATGCCTGGTGAATCTAAATAAAAGGCCTGGAGAAGCCACTGAGGACTCTGACTCCTCCTTTACTCGCTCTGCAAGATCAGAAAACCTGCACTGTGTCCATCCTGCCCCTCACATGGGGTCGTCACATAAGCCTGTATATTTATTTATCTAGTCCTTGTTACACAATGGCCAATAGAAGGCAAGAGGTCCACCAAGGTCCAGGTGAATGCTTTCTAACATTAACCCTATGCTTCTTGATCTTTCATTTTTTTTTTTAATTTTTATGCCTTATTTTATGCTGCCATTTGGCTAGACAGCCATCTTTTTTTTTAAGATTTATTTGTTTATGCATAAACAATTACATATTCACCAGAGACAGAGTGGGGGGAGCAGAACAGGCAGATGTACTGAAATCCACTGCTGAGGGGAGCAGCGGGGAGACAGGAGAGGTCTGCTGCACCATGTGGCTCAGCTCCCTGGCCAGGGATCGAACTCATGCTGCAGTGGCTGCAGACAGCTTCGTAGTGCTGAGACTTAATCCCTTGCGCCACCAGGGAGGCCCCTAGGCAGCGATCTGCTTTTAAAAAATAAAAACAAAACACAGCAGCCCTTACAAGGATGGAGTAATATGATCAATGGAAATTCTCCTAAGTCTAAATTCAACGCTCTCTCGGGCAGCCTGAAATGAACGCTAATGAGGGCAACAGCAGCACCTGCAACTGGGCCATCCCGGGTGTCCGCCCCACGGCCCTTCCGTGGGAAGTGGCTGGAAAGCAAAGAATGAGCAGAGCAAGCTGACCCCAGAGACGACAGAGCTCATGGCTCGAGAAGGGGCACGTGCTCCTCTCCTCTGCAAGTGTCTCGTGATTGGGCCAACTGTTCCGTGACGCTTTAACACTGCCGGCGCTGAACGCTGGGGTGGGTTTCCTTTCTCGGTGAGAAGTCAGCGTCAAGCTCTTGATCTGGGCCCTTCAGTCTTTCTGATTGAGACATCACACGCATCTGCCCTCAGAACATTGGTCAACTTGTTGCAACACTGATATATTTCCTTGACTCTTTAACGGCACTAAATTATCATGATGTTTTCATAATCTAGAAATGTTAGGGGGCACAAAGGAGTCCTGGAAAATATATAACCAATTCCCAGCTTGCTTAAGGCAGAAAGGAGGCTCTGCTCTCTGTGTCTCCCAAACCCAGTGCGGCACAGAGCTGAGTGATATGTCTTCTAAGGAAACGACAAAGCTGGCAGCAACCTCATGCAGGGCTTCATCCATCGCATTCTGTAAAAGAAAATGTCCATATAAATGTCCATATAAATGTCCACGCTAAAACTGCCTCCTCTTGGATTCCATACAATCCTCACCGTGGACTTTAGTCCATCCCGTAGAAAGGGAGCGGAGGCTGCTTGCTGCAGGCTTACGTACTGACAGCAACGAGAAAATGTCAGCCTGCCGGCAAAGGATGTAGAGGAGGAATTAAGAACCAGACAGAACATGTGGTAAAAGCAGGTCGCCGAGTCCGGGTGGGACTATTTAGCAATGGGACAAATGTCCCTGCAGGTAATAACAGCCTTAAGGGCTTCCAGTGTTCGCCCAGGAACTGACTGATGTTCTACTAAGCGCCAGCCGTCGATTGGCGCCTGCAGTCGTGAGCTCAGGGAACTGTTTTAAATGGCAGCAGAGATCCTGGCTACTGAATCTCTGAGCCTGGGCTTCCTTATCTATGAAGCGAGGATAACTGGTCCCCACAGATGAAGGATAAAAAGGGGACAGCAGCTGCAATATGCATTAAACTCAAATATCTTTAGAGGAAGTTACATCATCTCTTTATTTAAGAAAATCCTCCTGTTAGGAGCTGGGCGCTTGGGCTGGCCCTGGAGACACGGAAGAAAGACAGGCTGGTGTTGGGGTGAGGCTGATGTGCTGCACCAGCAGGCACCACCCAGGCCGCCTCTGTGGGGGTCCTTTCCACCTGCTTCCCTTGACACCTCACTAGGAAATGCTTCTCAGAGCAGGAGCCAGGGGCGCTGCTCTGGAACAGCGAGTTTGCTTGATAGGATTATTTGTGCCAAGGACATGGCACTCCGCTGCCACATCGGTTTCTCCACGCCCTGCTACATAGATACAGGGAGGGGGTGGGAGTAGTGTGACCCTGGCCATAGTTGATTGGACGGCGAGTAGACACCTGAATCAAGGTGCACCAATTAGAATACTCCGTAAGAGACACAAAGACCTCATTGGCTCTGGCGTCAGGAAGGGAAGGCCAGGAGTGCATGCGCTGGAGGTGCCCGTGTGTGCGCTGGAAATGCAGAGAGATCACATTTTAGAAAGACGCTGATTTGCTCTCTAGGGCCCCTCCCTACGCCCACCTCCAAGCCCAGGGCCAGCTTCACCCTCTGCCTTTGGATTTTATGTGGGACCCACTTGAAGGATTTCCAGGCAGCCTGGTAGCCCACCCCGAATTTGTAACTAAGTGGAATTAGGCTACATAGAGGGACCAGAGCAGTGACTGATGCCAGGCTGAGCCTGAGGCAGGGCACCGAGGAAGGTCGCTGAGGGAGGTCTCGGTGTCCTGCTCTGCGTGAACTCTGTGCACACCTGCTCTCCCAACAGCAGTGGAGACCCAAAGGTCGGGGATAGAAACCAAAAGGAGAAGCTGGAACAGAAATAGGCCCCAGCTGGCAAAACAACCGTCTCTAAATAGCATCTGATATTGCAAACACCTGTAGCACTTCATTCTCTCTTGAAGCCCCAGTTCCAGGGGGCTGCAGGGAGGGCCCAGGGTGGTCTCTGTGACACATGTACCCACCGCTGTGGGGCTACTCCCCAGCTCTTCCAACCTCCCCGCCTCCATTGTCCCCGGGTCACCCAGGTCCTGGCACGGGCAATGCACCCCTTGTGAGTAGTGGGTAAACAAGTGTCTACACGCCCCTCCTCCCGCATATGGAGGGCTGCACCTGGTGCTGTGTCCTCTGACGGGAGCCAAGAATAGAACCCAGGCGCCTGTGCTTGGATGGGGAAACGTCATTTTTGTTTTCACTAACCTCTAATTGCAAGTTAGCATTTTCCTCTAAATGCAGCAACAAGACTTGACCTCACCAGGTGAAGTCATATCTATTGTTCTTGCCACAAACGTGGCAGATCTCTCAAGGTGGTTTTATATCCGTCATTTCCTTGAAATTATGCCAAGGCCTGCCTCAACATTACTATTGTCTTATTAATAAAGAAGCACGCTGCTGTATCACACAGTGATAACCTTTGGGTAATTATACGTCACTGCAAGTGGTATCCCTGGCCATGTATTTTATTTTCTGTGTTTCAAACTCTCCCTGCCTTTGGTCACCTGCCTGGGTCCATGCCAGATGCCTCCCAGAGGCACAGCCGGCTCCTCCTGGGCTGGGTCCTTACACTGGGGGGTTGCCTCGGCTCCTCTGTGCCTTCCCAAGTCCACTTCCTAGACAGGGAGGCCGAGAGTGGCAGCACAGCCACGTGGCTCGATGAAGCAGACTCCAAAAGTGTGCATGGCTAGAGAAACTAGTATTTAAGTGTAAACAATAGCTTGAGACCTTTCCAAAAGAGGGCTGGGGGCTGCAGTGTGGGCTGCACTGAGTGACTCTCTTTCAAAGAACAAGCTAGGAAGACAGAAAAAAGTAACTTCACTGGGCAGACACTACCTGGGCCAGGTGACCAAGGTCAACCTCCCGATGAACGATCACATGACCCCATCAGGCTGACAGCCTGAGTGATGAGTGCCACTGCCCTTCTGTGGTGTCAGTTCTGAAAACTCAAACCCCAGTTGAACTTTGAGATGAACTTCAAACCTCGATGAGCAGACACTGGACAAGGAACTAAGCAGTGTTTCTTGAAACTGTCAAGGTCATCCGAAGCCAGGGAAGTCTGAGAAACCACCACAGGCCAGGAGGAGCTCGGAAGACACACTGACAGTTTCCTGAACTTGATGCTGGGATGGGGGACCAAGGGGGGGGTGGTCCAATAAAGTCCCCAGCCTAGCAAAGAGTAATGCAGATGTGGGTTTCCTAGTTGAGACTAAAGTGTCCTGATATTAATAACAATGGGGGTGACTGGGCCTGGGGGTCTGCCAGTTGTTCTGCAAATTTTAAATTCATCTGTAATCACAAGTTTAAATAAAAATGGAGTTAGATAGGGGCCTTCCTGGTGGCGCAAGGGGTTAATTCTCAGCACTATGAAGCTATCCACAGCCACTGCAGCTCAAGTTCTATCCCCGGCCAGGGAGCTGACCCACATGGCGCGGCAGACCTCTCCTGTCTGGCCCGCTGCTCCCCTCAGCAGTGTGTTTCAGTCAATCTGCCTGTTCTGCTCCCCACTGTCTCTGGTGAATCCTCTCACCCCCCACACTTCTGGCCTGTACCCCAATTCTTGTATGCATACATATTTAAAAATAAAATGGAGTTAGATAAAGGTCTGTTGTGTTGACAATTTTCTTTTACAGTATAGTCAAAACAAGGGGTCTTTTCACATATAATAAAAATAGTGAAAATAAAAATGTTTCTCTTTAATTGTAGGTTGAAAAGCTTCACCCCGGTCACTGGGCTGGACAAGCTCTGGGCGCACTTGAAATGGGGCAGATTGGAACTGGACGCCCTGGGATTGAAATACAAGGGGTCTTCTTAGTGTGAAGGAAAGAATGTGAAACAGCTTGATAACTGTACCGATTCTCTGTTGGCATGGTAACATGCTGGCCATGTTGGGTTAGAGGAATGTATTAAATTAAAAATAATTTCACTGGTTGCAACCTTTTTAATGCACCACTAGAACATCTGCAGCGCCGTCTGTGGGTGTGCGGTGTGTCCACTGGACCACCCTGCTCCACCTTGGAGGTGGCGAGGGACACCGGCCCCAGGGAGGCAAGACCCGCCCAGAGAAAAGAGACACAGGCCACTGCAAAGTTACAAATTTATTGGTCTGGAAATAAATACAAATATCTCATTAAGAAACTCCTCTGGAAAGACTCGTACACAGTTTCCTGGGGCCATTGAGTCATTCCTGCCCTGCCCAGCCACGGCCCCCTGCCTGTCCTGCATAGGTCAGGGGGAGCCTCCCGGGTGGTGGGTAGCAGATAAACTGAGTCCTTGCCCCTCCAGACCTTCTACCAAGTTGAGAGTCCTGAAAACTCTCAGGCCCCACCGGCTGATTCACTCACTCATGCGTCCGCAGGACGGAAGGTCCCGCTGACGGCTCAGCTCCCTAGGAGAAGATCCAGGTTAGCCAGCATCAAAGTCAAAAAGCAGTAGCACAGGGAGGTGACAGCTACGCTGGCGGTGCCCAGGAGAGTCACTGGCGCCACCCATTCAGGGAAGGAGGTTAGAGGGGTGGGGGAGGGCCAGCTGGAGCGGGGAGGGACTCCCCTGGAATCTACCGTCCAGAGCACACCCACGTGGGTCCCCAGCCCCGGCCCGCACGCACAGTTCCGCCTGAGACCCTGCAATGGCACCAGGTCAGAGACGTCCCGTCCTCCAGTTCAGATTCATCAAAGGTCGGAAGCTGGACTGAACTCCATCGCGCTAGCGTCCCGGGGACCGGGATGGGCAGCCTGAAATCACCATCGCGCTGGCTCCGTCACAACCACAAGAATCCCAGACATCTAGTCCCCGAAAACCTCCCCAGGCCCTACCCCTACCCCCCACTGCATGGAGAGTCCTCCCAGCAGCACAGCAGTTGGGAGCCTTCCCTTCACTTCAAAGAACACTCCTGACTCTGGCTGGCCTGCCCGGGACCGGCAACCTCCCGCGGGGTGGGCAGCTGCTGCGAGGCGGCGGCAGCAGGCAGAGCCAGAGCCTGAAATCCACGAGGCCCAGCACCTGCCAAGCCCGATTCTCTACAAAGCCGGCGGTTGTGAGCTCTTTCATGGTCCGTACGAAGGACAAAGGCCGGCAGGCATCAGCCCAGAAAGCGCAGAGAGGTACAAGCTTGAACAATCTACTTCCTAAAGGTCGTAGGCAGATTCTTTTTTTCCAAAGGCTTCTGGTCACCACCTAAATTCCACCTTTCCCCATTTCCTGTTTTGGCTGCTGAAGAGAGCCCACCGCCCTGCTGCTCCCCCTCTCCCCAAGTCAGAGAGGGTTTTGCTTCTAGAAAAGGGGTCAGTTTCTGTCTAGTGGGGGAGGAAACAGGAAGGAGGCAGACCGGGCTCCGGACAGAGTGCCCGTGAGAACCGGCTGCTGGGTCACCTGGGCAGAGGAAGGGTTTCCTGTTTGGGGCAGTTGGGCGTCTCTGAGGGGTGGGCAGTGACCACCAGGCCACTGGCTCATGGACACAGGCCGCTGCATGCTTCCTTCCCCTTGGTCCCCGGCCGCTCTCAGTTAGGTCCCCAAGCCCAATCTAACCTCGTCCTCACCAGAGCTCACTCTTACAAAATAAGCTTTGGATTAATTAATACCAAGTTATGTGCATGTGGCAGGCAGGGGGTAGGGGCAGGAGGGGCAGCTACAGCAGTCCAAAGTCCAGGGGGCTCACCCCACAGCCACCTAGCAGGAGACCTCCATGGACTTGGGCCCCGCGCTATTCCCGGTGGCTCCGGAGTTGGGGGTGATGTCCAGGCGGGCACCTTCGCTGGTGTGGGAGTGGCTGCGGGTGCCCTCGCTGGTGTGGGAGCGGCTGCGGGTGCCCTCGCTGGTGTGGGAGCGGCTGCGGGTGCCCTCCAGGGAGGTGACACTGGAGCCTGAGGCTGTGCGGGAACGCATCAGGCGGGTCATGCTGGCCGAGGGCACTGGGGAGAGAGAGACAGCAGTGAGTGGGTGAACGAACCGCTGCATGCCACAGGTGGGGAAACTGAGGCAGGCCTGAGAGGCCTGTGAGCTCCCAGGAACCATCAAAGGCTCCATCCATTCTTTGGGACATGACACCCTTGCATGTAGCAGATGACTGATAAAGTGGAAGAAGATGCTACAACCCCCATCCCATACGGGTTGAATAGTGACCTCCCCAAATTTCCGACCACCAGGGTCTCAGCATGTAGACTCATTTGGAAATAAGTTCTTTGCAGATATAGTTAAGATGAGGCCATCCTGGATTAGAGCGAGGGTCTGATGCAATGGCTGGTTCCTTCTAAGGGCCAAGGCTACGTGAAGACAGAGGCAGAGATGGGAGTGGTGTGGCCACAAGCCAAGGACACTAGGACAGCCAGCAGCCACTGGGAGTGGCAAGAGGCAAGGACAGATTCTCCCTAGAACCTCCAGAGCGTCCAGGACCCAGTCTATACCTGGATTTTGGACTTCTGGCCTCTAGAACTGTCTTTCTGGGAGATGATACATTTCTGGGGGATTTGTTCAGGCACCCACAGGAAACAAACACACCACCCAATTCTAGCATCGCTGCAAAGACCACACTGGAAGACACACATACAAACTGGGGTGACTGAGGACACCCACGTGTTTTGGGGTGATATTAACTTGTTGGGGGGAGTGGGTGGACTCTGTGGCGGACACCCACAAACAACTGCACTTTGCTGTTCTGACTTTCCTTCCCGAAGAACTTGTTTTTGAATCTGTAAAGCAATAGGACCCATCCCACATCTGTCGCTCACACATTTTCTCTGAGCCCCTATTTCTTGGCTCCAAATCTGGCTATTTTACTGACTTTGCAGGGTTCTGCTGACCATGGCATGACATTGGGGGTGCACAGAGCCAGCCAGGCTGCCAAATGATGCCAAATGATGAGAGCTGACCTGGGGAAACGTAGGCTTGAACTGCGGGAGCACACTCACACACACGGGTTCCCTTGTAAATAGATGATGCGAAATCCTGGTAGCCATAAGTACAGGCCAGGGCTCTAACTGTACTTTCTCTCCCTTTGATAGTCCCTTACCATTTTCTGTTCTCTAGTTTATCTTAAGGCGAGAACACAACAGCTCATAAGCACAACGTGCAGATGGGTTCATCAACTATTGATGCTGTCGGGAAGGCTTCCTGTCGGCAGCAGGCTATTAGCAGTTAAGTTCTGGGGATGTCACTAGTCATATGCAAATGTTTGACTGTGCAGGGTGCAGGGTAGGTACCCCTAACCCCCATGCTGTTCAAGGGTCCACGGAGCCTTAGTTCTCTTTGGTGGACGCCCCAAAGGGACTCCAGCTCTGCCTGTTGCCTTCCTGTTAACTTGTAGGATGTTTGGTTTCCTGGGAATACAAGCTGATTTGGGAGGGAAACAAGACCTGCCTTTCATTCCTTTCTCCTCAGAAGACACTTTGAAAGCAGACATCTAGACCCAGGGCAGTTCCAACACAAACGAGCTGGGATTCAGGCCTGCCAGGTACACAATGCTGCCCAGCAGCATTCTCTAGTCACGGCCCTCGCTGCCCCTCTCTGGAGGACAGTCAGTTGGGAAGGGGGAAGGCCGCAGAAAGCTGTTTTCTTTTGGAAGGGGGGCACCCTGGGACATGGATCCCTCCCCGGGCAAATAAATTAAGCTTGCTGCTCTGGGCCTCGTGGAAACTAAACACGGCAGAGGCCAATCTCAAGACTGCGGTCAGCTCAACAAACATACTGTTACTATTTTAAACAAGCAAACAGTTTAAGTCTCAAAGTAAAAAGACAGACTAGAAGTTCAGACTTCCTAGGTATGATGGGTACACAAATTATAATGCCACAAATTATAATTGCCAGAAAGAGCTGAAAGAGCCGCAAGAGAGCCAGGACCAGGGCTGTTCTACCCATGGCACCCACCGTGGCCACCACCCAACAGAGCGCTCAGGCCTGGTCTTGTCTGCCCTGGTTGTGGGGCTGCTTTCTTGAAAAAGGGCTGCATGTGCCTAGCAAATAGGCCATAACCATCATACAAAAAGCTGGAAGTTCTTGAATTACGCTTCTATTTATTCTTCCATTCCCAGATCTAATGATTTAGCAAAGAAATGCTGTGTCTCAATTTAAGCAACTTTATCAGCCACTTACAGAGCTTATGATAGTTTCCAAAGAACTATCAGAGATCCCTCTGCTCTTTACTGAATCTTTCAAAGCCTCAGCTTCATCATTTGTAAAATGAGGATAAGAGTTTCTCATAGGATAATAATGTGGTTCAATGAAAAGAAAGGGATGTATTAATACGCTTTCATCTTTACTACCAACATCATTATCACAATAATGATCACTAACACCGCCTGATGACCACCCGCCATGCCCATCATCGTCACTGTCTTCAACACCATCACCACCATCACACCATCTTCATCATCACCACCACCGTCACCACCACCGTCAGCATCACCACCATCATCACCACCATCATCAGCATCACCACCACCACCATCATCTTTTCCAAACATCACCACCACTATCATTATAACTGCAAGTCTTTCAACAAAGCATGTAATCAAAATTAAAAAGACGTTTATGGTTCATCATTTGTTTTCTTCTCAATGCTTCAAGGGACAGTCCATATCTAAACCTTTAAAAATTCCCTGCTGTGAAGTAACTTCTATTCTTGGGTCTCCCCGCTGGCACAGCAGTTGAGCGCTGGGTTGTGAAGCTGCCCGAAGCCTCTGCAGCGCCAGTTCGATGCCCGGCTGCTCCCCGGCCACCAGAGGAGGGACCCACATGGCGCGCAGACCTCTCCTGCCGCCCGCTGCTCCCCTCAGCAGTGTACTTCGGTCCTTCTGCCTGCTCTGCTCCCCACTCTGGCTCTGGTGAATTCTCTCACCCTCCCGCGCTTCTGACTGTACCCAGTGCTTGTATAAATAAATAAATAATAAATATTTAAAAAAAAAAAAAGAAAAGAAAAGAAATAACTTCTATTCAGTAAGTGAAGAGAGAATGAGCAACTGCTGGCACTAAGGAGATACACTCACACCTGCGTGGCCACCGCAGGCCCCCCATCTAAACGCTTCCTCCCAGGCCTGCAGGTGCGCGGAGCACTGAAGCTGGACAGTCATGCAGACACTCCTCCCGGCTGGCTCAGGGCACCGTACTGCTGCCCCTCCAGCTGCCCCTCCAGCCTCCCCATCTAGGAAGGGCCATACTCACTGTATCCCATGCCCTGCACGAAGTACTTGAAGGCCTCAGCGAGCTTGGCAGGCTGCAGGAGAAAGGGAAGAAGCACAGTCAGTCGGGGGTCCAGGCCATGAGTGGCTACCGCAGCGGAGCCTCCGGTCCCTTCATTGGAGAATCTGGCCCAAGACACCCCTTTCTCACATGGTAGTTTGGCCACTGTGGAGTGATTGGACAAAACAGGCATGATTTGGGCAACCTTGGCCAGGAAGATCATTCAAATTCAGTTCCAAGTTAATACAGCGTGGTAAAGTCACACGACCCGTCCGAGCTAGACGCCCCACCTGCACACTCGGGTGGGCGCCACACACCCCAGAGGCTTCGGTGGAGACCACGACAGTAAAGGAGGGGCCCAGGGAGCTGGAAAGGCCTCGGGCTCGCTGTCTATTTATTGAGCAGCGATTGGATTACAGCGGCCCTGAAGTGCCTTTCAGCACTGCAAAGAGACGGAGGCCAGGCATGGTCTGGGGGGAAAGATGACCAAGACTTATATAATATTTCATTTTAAGGAAAAGCCCAACATTTTATTGATATAAAATTGTACAAGCAAAGATTAAAATGTCTATTTATTTGTTAAGTTGGTGGGGTTATTTTAAGGTCAGGAATTGGAGGGGTTAGTTATTGTACATCAAACATACTACGTGAACCGACACGTTTCTATGCACAAGTGCACACTCACTCTACACACGTGCATGTACACCCATGCACACACATGCAAACACACACATGCATGCTTGGGTTTCATCTCTGGGGGCCTGTGGCTGTAACAGCAGCCTATGGCCTTCGGGGCAGGCCCCCCTGGATCTGGACCATGCTGATGGCATACAGGGGATGTGAGTGGGGACAGCAGGGAGTGGGGAAAGGGCAGTCCCAAGTCACAGAGGCTCAGCCCCACCCGGGGAGGGCACAGGTGCACGCGGGAGCTCACCTGGGAGATCTGGGGGAGGCCGCCACAGTCCGCCATCTGGGAGAGAGGGAAGCGGGTCATTCTCAACAGCTCTGGGGGCAGCCTCACACCGAAATGGCTCCAGACGGGCGCCTCACTCTGAACCCCGCTCACTGGCGCCCTGACCCCTGCCCACTCTGCTGAGGGGACTGGGCAGATGAGGGGCGGGGACACTGAATCCCACCTAGCAAGGCTGCTTTCATCCCATGTTGTCTCACACTTTACTGTGTGTTGTTGAACAGCACGGACTAGGCCCTCCACCAGGCCCTGTGGAAAGTCACACTGCTCCCCAACCCTGGGGGCTACAAGCACCCCATTTCAGAGGCAGCCACCAGGCCAGAGGGGGCTTTTAGAATGTGTAAAGTTCTAGTCAGTGTCTGTCTGACCAGCAGGCAGATGTTCCACCCACCTACAACACGGGGGCACACCTGTGCACAGGTGAGCTTGCAGGTGGCCTGCTCTTCAGTGGTCTTGGGGGACAGCATTCTCCTTTTGCCTAAGCAGAGTCTCTCTGGGAGGCCCGGCCCTGCCCCACCCTCAGAAGAGCCCCGGCCAGCACAACTCCCGGTCCTACTCTCCTCAGAACTCCAGGGCCAGTGCTCCAGAGATTCTGGGCCTCTGAAAGGGACTGTCTCATCTTTGCAGCCAGCACCACCCAATAAACACTTGTGAACAGAGACCTCAGATGACAATGTCTTTGGGTTCTGACCCCTCGCTTCGCCTCAGTCAGGCACAGTACAATTTTGCAGAAAATTTAAGGGTTTTCTAAGAAAGAACAAATGCAAGCCCCCACCCCCTTCCCTGTACCTTGAGGAGCGTGGTCTTCGTGGGGTCCAATTTCGAGTTGCACTCCACCTGGACAAGGAAAGGCAGAAGAAATTGACTAGTTTTCTACCTGGGGCCAAAGCCACGTGCCTCCCCTTCCCTTCATCAGAAACACCCACATTTCTGCTAGCAAAGAAGAAGGTGTGGGCTTCAGGATTTAACATATGTGGCTTTGAATTCCAGTTATGACCTTAAACAAGTTATTCACCTTCTTTGAAGCTCAGTTTTCTCATCAATAACATGAGGATAGTATCTTTTAGGAGTTATTATGAAGAGTGGAGAAATGTGGAAAATGCTCTAAAAATATTTGCTAAATGAAAGGCCTCGTTTAACCAGCTGCTTGGGTCAGCGATTCCACGGGCCCCTCAGCCCAGTCCCAACACCACCACGCTGGTTTCCCTCTTCAAAATGCCAACGACACTCTTCAAAGTGCATCTAGGACTGGGCTACTACTCACGCACAACCTGTGATGTTCAAAGTACCTATAGCAAAACTATCATCTCCTGCTCTGCCACCCACTGCGCACATCACGGCTACTCTAGGACTCTGCTCAAAAATCCGAATCTCCTATGTTCCCAGCTAGGGGGACCTTGGGAAGGTAAACTGCTCGCTGCCTCCACTGCACCACAGGTAGGAATTAAAGGGTGAAGTGAGTCAGAAAGCCTGGCCTGCGCCCCAGGTGCCTCTCTGCCTATTAGACTATCAGGCCAATCTGAAGCCCCATCTGACTCCCAGATGGGAGGGGAAGTCTCTTAGCCAGAAGCCAAGTGACCAACACGCCCATAGAAACCAGCAGACAGAGCGAGAGGGGCCTGGGAGAGGACACCGGGGCTCGCTGCCCAGCAGCCGGGCCTGCGGTCACCAGGGAAAGCGGCAGGCGGCTCGGCCCTCTGCCCAGAGGCCAATCTGGCATTTACAGGTGTCACCACCATGATGAGGGCAGGGCGGGTGTGGCCAGGTAGGCTTCATGCAGAGTCCACCGCATCCGACCACAGAATTAAACACAAAACCGGTGGCAATTTCTACTCACCACGGCATCCACGGCCGGCGAGTTGTCCCCGACCACCAGCAAAGCAGGACACCTGCGGGCGGGGAGGGCAGGAGTGAGTGAGGTGCAGGGAGGGGCCCCGCGCCCGGCCCCATGCCCAGGGCGGCAGGCTGGCGCTCCTGTCTCAGCCCCCCTCATCCTCTGCTTTGCTCTTAGGATAAAATGGGCAGAGGATTTTCAGCGTCTCTGTTTTATTTCAGGACGTCTCTCCTCAAGGGGGGGTGAGGAGGACCCTGCTGGCAATCACGACAGCAGAGACAGACGGGCAAGTCTGACAGAGGAAACGTGTGCCACTTCCCGGTACCAAATAATAGGGTTCGCTCACGGAGCCATAAAAAGACTCCGTCGTTCCTGGCGGACTACAGCTAATTATACCCGCCACGGCCGAGCCGCTCAGCTCTGGGGGGCTGGGGGGTTCACTGTCTTTCTCATCTGTGAGCTCTGGGAAGTCAAATCTCACATAGCATTTGACATATAGTAGGAGCTGGATATATTCTATCCAAAGTGGGGTCCCTCTGAGCTGGGAGGTCCCAGTCTAGGTCTGGGGGACCCCAGGAACCATACCCCTGCCAAGGGGAAGATGCGTGAGACTGGACGTGCCTACCTCTGGCCAGGAGGACACACGTGGCGACCACAGATGGCGACCCCCCCACACGGGCACCATTCCACCCAACAGATGGCGACCCTCCCACATGGGCACCATCCCACCCAACTCAGAAAAGGTCCCGCCAGCAAAGGGCCGTGGGGAGAGGCCGTGGGGGAAGGACTCACTGCAGGGTGACTGTTTGGGTCCCAGGCATCGGCCTCTCGATCTCCAGGTCCCGCCGGCTGTGGTGACAAATACCCCATTAACACCGGCAGCCCCTCCCCTAGAGGGAGCCCCCTCCCCTGAGCCAGCATGTTCGAGGACTGTCCACCAGGCCCTCCGGAGCCCACGGGATGGGCAGCGCAAGCTCACTGGAGATTCCAGAACCCCTGGCTAACACAGCTGCCCAAGCTCCCAAGCTGAGCTCCAAACCAGCACCAAATGCGGGCAGTTACACCCTGGCCCAGGATTAGGGGAAGGGGCTCCTCATTCTTGGAAGTAGTAACTCCCCGGAGCCTCCCAGATCCTCCATCCTCCCTCCCCAGTGCTCTGCCGCCCGTCCTATCCCCTCTCCTGCACCTTTCCCTGCCTGAGGCCAGCCTGGGGCACCTACCCTTTGAGGGCCTGACTGCGCCCCACTCCCCACTGCACTTGGGCCACGTGGTCTGGGGTAGGGGTATCTCAGCTCCCCACAATGCACTCTGAACCCAGAGGAGGTGCCTAAACATCCCTGGCTGGGCTCCCCTGTGCTATTACTCCATTTGCTCAATTCGAGGGCTGTGTCTCCTGCTAAGTTAGAACCTCCTGCCTTGCCCCATGTTCCAGACCCAGCAAAGGGACCTGGTCGAGAGCACCACCGTGTGGCCCCCATACCTGTTGTAGGCATTAATGAACAGGTGCAGGTTGCTGGGGTTCATGTCGTTGACAATGTGCTGGCGGTAGGTGTGGACGACCTCCACGTTATTCTGCATCTCCTCCTGCACGAGAGAGGGGGCTTCATCGCACGTGGCCCTCCCTGGATCCGTGGCTCCCCATCATTCAGCTAATGACGCCTAAGCTGTAAGACTGCTGTGGAGCCGGAAAGGTCCGGGAGCCACTGCCCAGAGGCGGGCTGAGGTTCACATGTCAGCCAGCAGCAGGAAGGACCTCACACCTTCAGGGGTGCAACGTGGCCTCTGGCCTCAGGCCTTGGAAGTTTCGAGTGGGAATCAGCTGTGCGAATCTGAGCTTGGTTCCCTCACTGCCCTCAGCCTGGCACCTGTCCGACCTCTCTGAACCTCAGTTCCTTCCAAAAAAGAAGTAGTGGGAACAATCTTACCATCTACTTCACAAGGCTGTGGGATTTCCCGGGGCCCTGCACACAAGCCCGTGGAAACTGACGGCCAGTGATGTCTTCCCATAGGGGGAGGTAAAAAGAACTTGTTCATAGTGGAAAAACAAAACTGATTCTTGCCATGGGAAGCTGCCAGAAAGAAGGGTCATCTCAATGCCCTGCGGAAGGCCGGCCTCAGCCTCCCTGCTCCCTGGTTCCCTTCTGAATGTGATCTGGGACAAACAAGTTAGGGGCTTGCTCTGTTTCTCATTTGGACAAGGCAGATGCTGCGGGTTTTCAAGAAGGGCCCGGTGTGACTGGAGACAGCCAGTGTGGGGCGGGAGGAGGCCCGGGGGAGCATGTGTCAAGCCCCAAGTGTCCTCAAGGCAGTCCCTGACCGTTTCAGCAGCAGCAAGGCCAACTGGCTGGGGGGAGGGAGATCAGGACAAGGCAGCCTAAGGAACTGTGCAGGGACTTTGGGTCAGAACACAGCTGCAGTGACTTGGGGGCATCACCAGATACCCTGAGAAAGCTGGGGTACAGTCAGGCCAGGCTCTCACACCCTATTAGGCATGGACCCCAGTGTTTCCATACTCCTAGGAGGTTCAGATTATACACTCAAGGTGGAGAAAATGAATCACAATTGAGGCATAAAAAGAGGAAAGAGAGCTCCAGCAGGCAGACCAGCCGGCCCCAGAGGAAAGCGTATGACGAATCCCTGGAGCCTGTGAGCGTCAACGCATTTGGGAAAAAGGTCTTTGCAGATGTCAGTGAGGCCTCCTGAGATGAGATCATTGTGGGCTATCTGGGCGGGTCCTAAACTAGTGACTACTGTGTCTGATTAGAAAAGGCAGAGGGAGCCTGGAAAGCGACAGAGGCAAAGCAGGAGGCAGACACTGTTGTGAGCACCACAAGCCAAGGACACAGGGGCTTCTGGGAGTTGGAAGAGGCCAGAAGGATCCTCTCCTAGAGCCTCACCAGGACGCACAGTCAGAAACTCCTGACTTCAGAGCTTGGCCTCTAGAACAGTGGGGGGACCCACTTCTGGCGGGTTTGCTGGGGGTCAGTAGCCCAGGAGACAAACGCAAGGCCAGGGGCAGTGGCACACATGGGCAAGCCACTCAGCACCCAAGAGGCATGAGGGCCAATACGCCCACAATGAGGGCACAGGCTGGGCAGGTTAGTGTAAGGACAGGGTGCTGGCCAGGGGCCATCTGGAAGGGCGACACTCCACAGGGACAGAGCAGATCATCAGTGGCCCAAGAGCAAGAGGGTGACCTGGGCACAAGGGACCTTGCAGGGCTGGGGTTGGTTCATTGCCTTGATTTTAGGGCTGGTTTTCTGGGTGTCCATGGATGTTATATGTTAAATTCTACATCTCAACATGTGCGGTTTTTGTACCTCAATAAAGCTGTTAAAGAAGTTTTGTGTTAAAAAGGGAGGCAGAGCAAGGGCTTGATGGTCATGAATGAGTGACGTCACACTGCTTGTTGGCATCAGCTGTGGCACCGCTAGCTGACGAGTGTTCCTCTCCAGCCCGCAACTGCTCAGTGCAAATGACGGCATCTGGACCACACCACAGACTCACCTTCGCAAAGAAGTGGGACACCACCATGTCTGGAAGGGCTTGGGTCCATCCCGAGATCTGTGGGGTACAAAGCGGGGAGGTTACCAGGCTGGTGTCTGCAGAGTTGAGGCAAGGTCAGGGAGACACGCAGCCTCCCGGCACCCGGTCATCTACTGGACCTGGACCTGGGGCCCCTGGGCAGAACTTGGTCTCTCCATCGATTCCTTATTCTCAGGGCCCCCAGCACAGGAAATGCACAGCAAAGTATAATGAATCAGGACTTGCAGAGTCCTAGCAAGGAAGAACCTGTCCCTATGTACTAAACATGCACTGAGCTCTCCCAGCCCACACTGCAAGATCTGTTTTCCTTTAACTCTCCTTCCGGCATCACCCTCTGGATTGCCCCCCTAAGTCAATGTCCTTTTCTGAATATACTGAGGCTAGTAGAGACTGTGACACCTACTCTCTACCTCTCTCCAATGACAATGCTAGGTATATATCAGGAGTTCTATAAATGCTATTTAGAGCAGAGGCTCCATAAATACTAAGTACACAGAAGGAGCGCCATAGAAATTAGTTCTGTAGCAGGAGCTCCATTAATGTTAGGTATACAGCAGGAGCTCCATAAAAGCAAGGTACATAGCTGAAGCTTCATAAACGCTAGATAAACAGCAGGAGCTCCATAAATGGTCGGCATGCAGTGGGAGGTCCATGAATGTGTGCTGAACAACTTAAGGTCCAGCAGGGACCATGGGGGAGCAAAACTAGGGTCTTGAAGTCGGTCTAGCTGTGTGGTCCAGGCTGCAGAGCCCCTGGACCCGACTTCTCATCTATAGGCTGAGAACTTCAGGAACTTCAGGAACTTAAAGACAAGGTTAATGCGAGGACCTACATTGATGCAAGATCTGACACCAGGGCCCCCCACACAGACCCTGGTCTCTTTCCTAGGACTTAGGTTGAAAAGGAAGGATATGGTGCACATATTAAAACCCCACAAACATCCCCTCAGCTCCACTGCAGCCAGTGGTCTCTGCCCAGCCCCCCAGTCTAGAGCTATCTGGAGCCAAACTGGCTGGTGAAATGTCACTTCCTTTGCTGGAAAAAGAAATGAAAAACAGGGAGTGTGCTCCCGTCCCGAATGTCACGCAGGCCGCAGGGAAGGGCTGCGGTGTCTGCAGTCCAGGAAGAAATGCGCGATCAGGATGGGAGACAGGGCTGGGAGGTGTGGGGCCCCTTCAAACCCCTGTCCCCAAAAGCCCTCTAAACTTGGCAAAAACACACTCCCAAGGTAAGAAGCCAGGATCGCCCCTGCTTGAAAGGCTTGTCCTATTTCAACAGGAAAGGCTCCCCCTGCTCTCACCAACTTGGCAAATATGGGGGCCTTTATTAAAAAAAAAAAATCATGATTTTAAAGGATAAACAAGGGCTCCCAGCGCTGCAGCCAGGGTTGTCTGCAAGATGAGTAGTGTGTATCCTGCCTTCCACCCCAGTTCCCTGGACCTGCAGCGCCCAAGTCAGGGCCTTCGGCACCTGCTTAGTGAGACCTAGGATGGGGGTGGTGGTGAGGAGAGGCCTCTTAGCTCCACTGCTCCTCCAGGCAGGGACCCCTAAGCTCACCTTGGAGGCGGCCCAGTCCATCCAGCCTTCTGCACAGGGGTTCACGTTGATGAGCACCAGGCCCTCCACCATCTCGGGGTTGTTCAACTGTAAGGATAGATGTGAGGTAGAGGTGAGGCAAAACCGAAGGTGGAAGAGAGGACCCAGGAAAGGGACCCACAGGGCACAGGGGAGCAGGCTGCTGTTCTCAAGTCTGCAACCCCACTCCCGGAACTGCGGCTCCAATGCAGCAGACAGGAACTGGGTCCCTGAGAGAGCAGAAAGAGGAAACCAGAGAAGTAGAAATAGAGTGTGGGCACCTCACAGACCTGCCTTAGGCAATTCATGCCACCTCTGCCCTTGGTTTTCCCAACAGTCAAATGGGTACATCCCACATCTACCTTTTAAATCAGACGGGGCACAGAAATGCTCTCTGGTACCTCATTACTTCCAAAGGATCATCTCTTTACCCATCATCTCTCTATCCATCCACCCAGGCACCCACTCATCCATCCATCCATGCATCCATCCACCCACCCACCCATCCATCCATTCATCCTTGTATGCACACACACCCCTAACACATAGTCGAGACCTTGTCCTCTCTGCTCAGGCCAGGTAACCAGCCAGACCAATATGTATTCAGCATTTCTACCTCTAGCAAAGCCAGCAAAGAGCAGGCAGAGTGAACATGCCTGAATAAAAGGAGCACCGCGGCCTTTAAAACAATTACTGGAAGCACACAGAGGCCCAGCAGCACTCGACTCGGGCCCATGGGAATACAGGTGGCAACCGTCAGGCTAACACAAGTGTCTCTGATTCTAGCTCAGAGTCGGTCAGGATTCCAGAGCTCCCTGACCACAGAAGCCACGCAGCCATCACAAGGTCTTGGCACAGGACGCTGGCCACGCGAGGGCCTGGCCACAGTCCACTGAGCAGATGGAAGACCCAAGAATGCATTGAGTGTGTTATTTCAGTGAGGGAGAAAGAAGAGCTGCCCACACACGCATGAATACAGACACACACGTGCCAACATGGCACACACAAGCAGGTGCATGTGGTATATACACACATGTCCCCATCATGCCCCCGAAAACCTGAACACTGGTTCTCCCTAGGGAAATGGAAATATGGCTCATCACATTTTCCCTTTTGGAGTTATTGATGCTTTTCCAATTTCCTTCCTTCCTCTTGAATTATTTTGATTTAAAAGATCTTTTTTTTTTTTTTTTTAAATGCCAAGAACTCACAGCAAATCGAGTGAGGATATAGGCGCCTGCTCCGGTCCCCATGCCAATAATGCTTTTCAGTCTAGAAGCAAAAATAAGACTCCATGTCACAGAGGCCCGAGCGAGAGGAGCCCAGCAGCACTCTCAAAGCCCCCCCACCCCTACCATGTCTCCGAGGAGCCGTGTCTCCCCACATGGCCCAGCCACGCAAGGGTGGGGCGAGCCAGGGTGGGAACATGCTGTGGTGGTGCCCCTGAGGAAGGAGGATCCGCATTGTGCTTTATGGCTTGACAGAGATAGCAACCTTGGGGAGCCGCACCCCCTTCCCTGCCTCCCTCCCGATGCCCCAGGCTCTGACAGACCCGCCACCGGGTTTCGGGAAACCCCATCAGGGCTCTGCTCCTTCCTGCTCTTAATCTTTTGTTTGGCTTCTAACGCTTGGAATGAAAATAAATTGGGCTAGAACTCTGAGGTATTATCATCACATGGAAGGTTCGAGTAGGAAGAAAATGAGGACTGGAGAAATAGGGGTCTGGAGAGAGCAGTGGAGGGGTCAGGAGATCCCTGGCAGAAAGTTCCATTGGGAAGAAAAAGCAAGGAATGCGGAGGTCAGGGGAGGGGGGATTCGAGGGGAGGGCCAGGTGTCATCAGGGGACATGTGCGCGCAGGGCAAGCCCCCGCGACAAGGGGCAGCCGGATAAGGAGGCGGAGTGAAGACAGTGCTCCCACGGGTGACCCGCTGCTTTCTTCCCCATCTTTAATTCAACTACATGTCAGTGGTCAGGCCGGTCAAGGCCAAAAGAGAGGCAGGGGCTAGGAGCACCCTCTTTGCGGGCCGGTGCGGGAGGGGACCCCTGTCTTACCCAAACTGCTGAAGGACGCCGGGCAGCATCATGGCCAGCTGGTCCATGGAGGGGTACATGTACCTTGGGAGAAAGTGGGAGACGAGAGGCTGTTAGTACCGGCTGGGGCCCTGGTGGGCACGGAGCACGCAAACAGGAATGCGCTGGAAGGGCAGGGCGGGCGGGGGCAACCCCCTGGCCCAATTGCCCTCCGCCCCACACCCAGAAGTCTGCTCCCCTGGGCAAGGCCAAGCTCCACGCCCTGAAGCTCCTCCTTGCACCCTGCAAAGTGACCTGTTACCACATCCGCTAGTCCCAGGCCCGGCCCAAGCTTCCGACGAGCAGTATAAGCTCATCTGATCCTTCCAACAACTTTACGAGGTTGCTATGATTTTCCCCAGGATGAAGATCATGAATGTCACCGAGGCTGAACGGTGAGAGGCCAGCACGTCTCACGCGGCTCTGGGGATTTCCTGGCCCCTGCTCTCACTCACCATCCTGAGCTCCCTGGCGGCTCGTCCATGAAGAGCTCCTGCCTCTAGCGAGTCCCTCCCCGCTGACCTCCTCGCCCCCAGAGATGCTCTGGAAGGGCCGGGGTGGCCCGCCCTGATCAGGTGGGCCCGTGGGTGCACTCAGCTTCGGAAGACGGGTACCCAAAGGGTTAAGCCTGGCCCACAGGAAGTACTTCCTCTGTTTCCCCTCAGTTTTCTAGCTCTCTCTTTTAACTCTTTGGTTCTTGGCAAGGTCTCTTCCTCTAAGGCTGAGGAGCAGGTGTGGGGCCAGAGGCAGGGGCACCGGGAACGGGGAGTTTAATGGGGACAGAGCTTCAGCCGAAGGCGAGAGAGTCGTCTGGGGGTGACGGCGGGAGGGCTGCTCAGGCGTGACTGTTCTCAGAGCCACCGAGCCGCACACTCAGAAACTGGGCCATGGAATCACCTGGCCTCATGGCCAAGGTCAAGCATAAAAATGGTTAAAACTGTGAATTTTGTTGTACAGATCTTCCTCAATTTACAACGGGGCCATCCCCTGATAACCCCCTCCTAGAGGGGAAACGTGGCCAGCCTCAGACGCTGGCCCGTGAGTGTCCACCCGGGAAGAGCAGAGTCTCCACTGCCCGCTGCAAAGTCAAAAACCCGAAGCCAGCCATTGCAAGTCTGGGACCCTCTGTACATATTTTACTGCAAAACGTCAGAAGCCGCCTGCTCCGGCCCCCGCCTGCTCCCGCCCCCCGCCGTGCTCTCCTGCCCCCGCTTACCCCGCAGGGAAGGAGGCAGCGCCGTCCTGCTGGCCAGGGGCGTCCACGTGGCAGACGGCAAAGTGCTGGGTGATCTCCTGCATGTCCTCCGAGTTGAAGAGCGGGTTGTAGCAGGTCTTGTCTGGAGAACAGGCAGGAGAGAGGCGAGGGAGAACGTGAGGAGGGGATAAGCAGGCCGTCCCAGGCGCGAGGGCTTCATTTTCTTTGTCTCGCTCCCAGTCACTAGGAGGGAATGGACTTACAAGAAAGAAGGGCTTTCTCCCCTGCCTGCTCTCTTTGGTAATAAAAGACAAGAATAAATATGGGGCAAAGCAGTGGGTGTGAAGTGGAGATGGTCAGGGAGCTACTGAATATGCTGATGGATGACCTTAAGCCTCCAGTGGGCGCTGGGGGGGCTCCCATGGCGGCTCCTGCTTCTTCCCCATGATGCCCCGGTTAGGGTAGGGACTGCTCCACAGAGCCTCTCTCTCTGGGCCTCCTGTATCTCTCGCCAGTATCTCCCAGGGATACTGGTTAAGACACAGATGATTTTTAAACAAGGATAAGCACAGCAGATCAAGCACAGACCCTCTCACTAGTTCTGGGGCACTGGATGAGTCACTTAAATGCTACGTTCTAAGGCAAAGATGGCCAACTGGCACCACCCATTACTTCGTTCTTCTTAGGCCCCCAGCTGGACTACATTTCCCTTGTGATTAGACATGGCCAACAGCATGCAATGCACACCATTTCCTCCTGACACTCAGTCCTTGAAAGTCTCTCTCTTTTCTGGCATCTGCCTGCCTGGTAGGTGCAGAAGAGCCGGCAGAAGCCTGAGGCTCCAGTGGATGAGGAGCCACAGAAGGAAGGATCCTAGATCCCTGAATCACCGCGTGGAAGGTGTTCCACAGAATGCCCACTAAATTGTTACGTGAATGAGAAGCCAAGGTATATGGGGTGAAGTTGAAGAGGCACTGGGGCTTCTCATTAAAGCAGTTAGCCTATTATAAGTAATAATGAGTCTCCCCAAAATGGGGGGCATCGCCCCCAGCTGTAATTCCATGTCCTGTCAGAGGTAAGTGAAGTAAGATGAGGTAGACTGATGGGCTGGTATCCCGGTGTGGTATAGGATGGTATCAGGGAGGCACAAGGGGAAGCAATGAGATGACCGAGAAATGAGAGTGAAGAATAATAATAGTTTTCAGTGACTGACATCATCCCTGGCCACCAGAGGAGGGTCCCGCATGGCGCGCAGACCTCTCCTGCCGCCCGCTACTCCCCTCAGCAGTGTACCTCGGTCCTTCTGCCTGCTCTGCTCCCTGCTCTGGCTCTGGCGAATTCTCTCACCCTCCTGTGCTTCTGACTGTACCCAGTGCTTGTATAAATAAAATAAATAATAAATAAATAATTAAAAAAATAAATCTTTAAAAAAAAAAAAAGATCACAGATCTCAGATCTCATGACACCAGGAAGACCTCAGTGCTTTCTGAATCATCACAGAACCATTCTCTTCTGTCCCATGTAATTTTAACATTCAGTAGCTTGTATTCCATTCCCGTCTCTGAAAAAATGGGGAACCCACATTTGGTTTCACTTCCTAGCAATCTTAAGATTACTTTGGTCTATAAACACTCTGGGCTGCATTATTCAGATGAGCCAAAAAGCTGAGACCATCCACACGTTCCCCCCGCTGGAGAATGGAAAAGGCAAATGTGGCATGTCCATCCCCGAGTGTCTTTCAGCAAGAGAGAATGAAGGACCACCATTGCGACAACATGGATGACCTTGGAAATATTATGCAAGAAGACAGTCACAAAGACTGCACTTGTGTGACTCCATTCATACAAAATGTTCAAAACAGACAGCCTCTCAGAGACAGGAAGTAGTTGCCCGGGGCTGGGCTATGGGGGGTTGTGGGTGATAGATCCAGGGACCAGGATTTCTTCCCAGAATAATAAAAATGTTCTAAGATGAATTGAACTGACAGTTGCACAATTGTGTGGAAATGGTGAAAACCACTGTACATATTAAGTAAAAGGACGGTCACATGCAGGCATGAGGGGCTCCCTGAGCTGCCAGAACCTCCGGGCACACAGACAATTCCGTGCCCAGTGCATTCCAGTTTCTTCCATTCTGTGGTAACAGTTCTTCCCAGAACAGTTCCAGGAAGACACAGCAAAAGAAACCGACTCCCTGGCTGTCTTGTTCCACCCCAGGGGGAACAGGCTCCTCAGAAAACATGATTCCTGGTAACTTACGGTTCATGCCAATGTCGTGGTAGGTGAGGATGACAGGCCGATTTCCCTTGGGGGTACCACACAGCGTGACGTGGAGGGTGCCATGTAGAGTCTCGATGTCCTGCTCCTGCAGAGAGAAGACACATTGGGGGGGGGGTGTCAGGTGGGGCTTGACTGCTGACTTTAGAGGGGCTCTGTCTGCACAGAGGTTGCTCCCTGCACATTTGGCACTGGTACACGAGGGTGCCTTCCAGAAGCAGAGAAAGATAGGGAAGGAGAACTTTTGGGGGAGGCAGAAGAGAGAGTCCTGGTTCAGATGGTGACATTAACTGCACAAAACATGCCAGCCTCAGTCTGCAGCCCCCTCTGCACAGGACCTAATTGTCCCCATCTGGAGAGCTGAGGTCATACAGGAAAGAACTTCCCTGATCCCACCTCATCTGACCTGTAGCTATACACCTGCAATGCACACCTGGTAGTTTGGGGCTGCCCAGAATTCACGTGATGCTTCTAAGAAGAGCCCCTCATTTTCCTTGGGAACCCCATCCGACTCTCCCCCTTGGTCTTAATAGGTCTGCGGACACTGATTCCTGACCCAGGTTTGAGAGGTCAAGGCCAGTTTGCGGACTGGTATATGGAAGGCCCATAAGTTAGGTAGGCTCTTGGGGAAGTAGACTGGACTTGCTCTAGCAATGCTGAAAGGGTCAGATCTACAGCAATCAAATTTTTACCAAGAGGCAAGGACCAGTCTGAAAATTGAGCCAGTTCAGTGATGGTAAGAAGAAAAAGGAGGTTTTGGTGTTGGCATCCACCATCTTGGATTTTCAGTCACGCGGGACAACACATTCCAAGTCCCTGTAAGCCATCTTGAGTTGACCAGAGGAATCCTAAATGAAGCCACATCCCTTTCCCAAATGCCCTCCCTTCCCAGAAGACCAGGTCTGTCTTCCCCTGGTCGAGATCAACTCTCCGGCCCGTATCCTCAAGTGGCCTCACCCAGTCAGCCATCCCCACACTCTTTGGTACTAAAACTTGAATTCTTTTTATGTAAGAGCTGCAGACATGTTCCTCTTTCCTCCATCCTCCAAATTCACCTGGCCTGACTGCAAGCACACCAGCTGCCTCAAAGAGTGAGTCACCTCAAAGACCGATTTGTCACCTGCTATTTTCATCTAAACTACAAGACAGCTGTGGTGGTGAGGCTTTCTCAGTTCTCATTCACCTTCAACCCACACCTGCCTCAGGTGCCCACCTTCCTGCAGGTCACCCCGAGGCTCCAAGGACCATGTTCTTGGCCTCACATGAGCATCTCCCACATCTGGGAGCACTGGCCTCCCCTCTGAAGTGCTCCCTTGCCTGGGTGTCCACGCCCCCGCCCATGGTGCTGTGTGGGGTGGGTGGGGCTGCCAGGCTGAGACCTTCCAGGATTGGGGGTGTCCTGGCCCCCAGCTGGCAGATGGTGACATTTTGACACAGGGAAACAAAGGCGGCCAGAGTCACACCTAGGACAAACCCAGACAGTGGGCCCCGTACTCCCCACACGCTTCCTACTCACGCACACTCTGAGGCTCACACCTCGTAAGGCCACCTCAGGGGACATTTATTCTCCAGAGAGTAAAGAAGCACCAGAAATGGATCCCAGAACATTCCAGATGCCGTCGAACCTGCCCCCAGAAGCCAAGTGAGTTGTGAACTATAGCACTGACTGATGAATCAGGAGGCAGAAAGGTCAGTGCTCACCACTCATGGATGAGGAGCGATAGGCCGGATCACCCACTCAGGACCCTGTGAAACTGGAGAGCCGACGGAACCCCAGGTCTCACCTGCACTGTGAGACAGTGCTGCCCCCTCCTGGGACGCTGGGAGGCCCAGGGCCTCAGCAGGGAGGACAAGACCCTGAGGAGGGTCTCTTCTGAGGCCAGGGGACATGGCCACACCTGCTCGGGGTCAAATCCCACCTCTGCTGCTTCTTCACTGTCAAGAGCCAAGCCACTTCAATGTCATCCAGCACCCATTTATGGAGCAGCTGCTACATGGTAGGTCCACCAGGACTGTAGGGAGAGGGAAGGATCTCACACAGACACCAGGGCACAGCGAGAAAGGGGACTGGACCCACCAGGGAGCTGCGGGTTGGGCGTGGGAGGGGGACCCGGAGAGCCCCTCACCCTTTGAGGCAATGGCACTCAATCTGAGGAAATTGGCTTCCAAAGAAACACACCCCAATTCTCAGACTGTCCCACCAGCGCAGGGAAGGGCAGCATCTGTGCTTTGAACAGGAGCTGCTCACTTCCCCACCCCCGGCGGAGGGATAAGAGGGGCTTCTAGCCCTGGATTCGAACACCCATGAGGCAAACAAGTCTGAGGTTGGGGAGCCCAGAGGCACAGCTCCAGCTGCCACTGTATCTGAAATGGGAACATAATGAGGGTCTCAGGGGGACATGTAGGGCTTGCCACCAGGGGGTGGTGATGGGCACAACGGGGCACAGAGGGAGAGGACCCCTGCCCCACCAGTGCCCAGGCCTACCCCAGCACAGGGGCGCTCCTGAGACACCTGCTTATCACCCCAGCAAAGTGAGCCTCTGCACACAAAGCCCACCACTCTCCCTGGCCCTCTCTTTCCCCCAGTGCTCAACATGTCACTTCTGCTTTCCACAGCAAGCTCTGGAAAAATTCCGATGATGGAGCAAGAGACCGGCCCCCGCTGGGGGCCACAGATCATCTGCTGGGCCCAGGCCTGGCCCTGAAGCCACTGTGCGAACAATGGTCCTTTATGGGGGCCACATTCTCTATTGTCTCCCCAGCTGACCCACATGGTGGCCTCTAAAAATAGACCAGGCCAGGCAATGTCTGCACCAGCCTGGGGGCACCAGGGTTTAAATCCAAGCACCGCCCTTCCTCAACCGCTCTGACAGCTGGGGCCCCACATGTCACCCCAGTCCCTCAGCTGAGAGGGTGAGCTGTGGCCAGGCACACAGCGCTGGGAGAAACGCTGTTCTTGCTATGGGGACCAGGTGACAGAGATGGGATGTCCTTGTCCAACTAGCACTAGGATGCCTGTGAGAGCCCCCAGGGGTGGGGAAGGGTAACCTGGGCCCACCCCAGTGCCCTGGTTTCCCCAAAGAAAGGACACAAAGGAGCTCAGATCTTTAGAAAAGCCTGGTGCAAGGCACAGCCCCTCGCTGAAGGGAAAGCCTCCTGTCTTGGGGCTCATCAGGGGACGCCCTCTGGTGTCTTGAACCACACATACACACTCCCCTTCACCTTCCAGGCCCATCCTCTGCTCCCCCACACTCACAGTAAGATCACAGAAGAGCCTGCTCCCAGGGGCTCCATGCAGTCGGGGCATGCACAAGGGAGAGACCCAGCTGCACGAAATTTCCTCCCAGCTCCTCTGGAAGAGCCTAGAAAGGGCTCCTCTCCAGGCGTAAAGGGGATGGCAGTGTGGGGGCAACAATTGTCGTGTCATCCACCACATCTCACTTCCAGCCCAGCCCTGGGCATTGACAAGACGGCCCTTTGCTTTTACCCACTCAGCATCTCCACGGACCTGCTATTCAAAGGCCCTGGCACACAACACAGAGACATCACAGCTGCTCCTCCCATCCTCCCAAACCTCACACCTGCCCCCAGTCTGCAGGTGTGGGACCAGGTGTGTCAGACTTGGAAAGGCCTCGGCACAAATGTCACTCTCAGGGAGTCCCTTCCTGCACCCGCTGCACACATAGTGTGTGTCCTTGTTCTTTTCTTTGTAGCACCCGCCACCAGACAAATGCATGTTTCACAGGCACCTGCCCAACCCGTCTGCCAGTTTGGGAATTGGGGTAGACAGGTCTGCCTCAGAGGAGACACTTGGAGACTTATGCCATCCATGCCGTCTGCAAGCTGGCAGGTGGTGAAAATTGCACCGACCACTAAATATTCCTCCAAGATTTCATCTCTTTGGCTGCCAATCCTGCATGGGAGCTGTGTGAACTGTGGCAGGCCAGGCTGGTTGGCCTCCCAAACGTCTGTCACTCATTTCTTTATGACTATATTCGTCCAACATGCCTGGTGAAATCCCTCCCTCCCCATCTTTCATAGCCAAGGGTGGTCAGCAGATAGTTCTGGCCAGAGATGTCAACAGAACTTGCTGGAACTTTGAGTTTTATTTTAAGGGTCAATCTTGGCCTCTTGACTTTTCCCTTTTGCTCTTCTACCTGGAATATGGATGAGATGCTTGGGGGTTCAGTAGCCATCTTATGCACATGCTCATCATGACAGTGCAAGCAGCTCTGGGACAGGGCGACACTGCAGTCTGCTGCACCAGGCCCCCTGGCAAAATCAGCAAACATTTCCTTGCTCAGGGCACTATTTGTTGAGTGATATGGTACAGGAGCTAAACGGTAAATTTCTCCCAGGCCCTGTGGTAATTACTTAACTGTCACTCTGAGGTGTGTATTCACAAAGGCAGTTACTCTGCAGATGACCTAGTCCAGTCTGAGCAAGCAGAAGTAACCTGAGCTGAGCCCCAAGGCTGGCTGCACTGGGAGACTAAACACAGAGGAGGGGGGCTGCCAGAGGCGAGGGGACTTCCAGTGGAAATTCAGAACTCCAGGTTTTGGGGGGGAAAAGCCTCTTCATACTTCTTTCTGCATGAAGGTCCCTGCAACTAGCCAACTCCTTTATTCTCAACCCCAGCCTCCAAAATCCATGACCTCTTTTGTTTCTTAGGAAATGGGAGACAGATTTGCATTTACACTTCCCACCTCCTTGCCAACTGATTTGCATTCAAGCATCTTTCTTTTCTTAAAACCTGGTGCTGCAGTAACCAGCCTCTGGGCGCAGGGCAGTGACCCTATGGCGTGGAAACATTAATCCTGATGATACACCCACCATGTGCCCTTGGCTAAGTTATCGCCCTTTTCTAAGGTTTCCTCGCCTCAGCTGTAAACTGAGGTTGATAACAAACACATCTGCTCAGGAAGCTGCTCCCAAGACAAAGACTGTGCCCAGACTGGGAAGCGCTTTGCAAATTGCAGTATTTCCCACCACGCCGGAGGCATGCATGGCATCATCTCAGAGATGACCCCAGCGCCAGCCCCAGGGCTTAAATCTACTGGCTGGATAATCCAGGAGAGCTCTGTGACCAGCTGCTGCTGCCTCCCCCCATAATCCACCTGTCCGGCAGCGCTGGGTAAATGAGGGGCGCTTTGGACTCAAAGGGAATGACACACACTGACCTGACCCCTCCCAGTCTAGCCAGCCTTGGTCAAGTCATGGCTGAGGGCGGGGGTTGGGGAGTACCCCACACAATAGGTGAAGAAAGCTGGTTCTGGATAGTCAGAGGTAGCATTAAGTGGAGGCTTGTTGAGGCAAGAAAGGCTAACTATGAGAACAGAAGCTGCAGAGAAGGTGCTAGGGGCTATTTCCAGCACCATCTTTATGTAATACACAGCCTCCCCAGCTTCCTGGCTTGCTGTCTGCGCTCACGGTGGGGAGGCGCAGGTACGGCTGTGCCACAGATCTATCCCCGTTGGGTAAGGGACGCAGAAAAATGAAATGAATGTAATAAGCATTCAAAAAAGATAAACACATGCCATTTGCAGCAACATGGATGGCGCTGGAAGGGATCATGCTCAGGAAAAATACCATCACTCATAGCAGGAAAGAACAAGGGACAGGGAATAACTATAAGAAATGAAAATTCAACAAACAGCTATGAACCAGACACACAGCATTGGGGTCAAAATAAGGGGGTCGCAATGCATGCCTGCCAGAGAGGTACATTTGGGAAGGAACACAATGGTACCTATGTTAAGGACAGCCACACAACAGCGTTGCATGTAGGGACAGCCAGCCCTGTACTGAGCAAATGCTCTAAAGGCAGTCACTTCCCAGACGGAGCCAGCTCCCGGCTGTAGCCGAGCACCCAGATAGAAGATTCCAGACTGGCTCTTGGGCGGCCAACCTCTGGTTCTCACTCCAGCCTGAGCTGCTGGGACATCTGGAAGACAGGAAGTCCTCAAAGAGGTCAAGGCTGGCCAATGGCCTTCATTTTCCCACCTTCGAGGACGTCGCCATCACGTGAAGAAAAAGGACGTCAGTTACAGGGGCAGGAGACAGGGCCCAGCACAGCCTGGAAACGCTGCAGCACGAAGCTGGAACCACACCAGAGATGGTGAGTCTCCAAAGAACTTGCAGAGAAGTCTCCCTGGGTTGGGGGAGGAGTGGACGGAGGCAACCCTGGCGCGTGGGGCAAAGGCTGGTGTGCCAAGACCAGGCCGTGTCATTTCATGTTCTTGGCACCTGAGGGACGATGATGCCCCCCATGTTTAAAGATTACAAAACTAGGTCCAGGGTGCTCAGGGCACAGGGCCAGCAGAGCTGGATCTGAACCCGCTTCTGTCCACTGCATGGCCTGCGAACGTGGAACAAGGGGATCTTTGCCAGAACAGCCTGACGCCTCAGCTGCACAGGTCAATGGCCCAGCTCCCCACCCCTGGGGGTACCAGGCGTGCCCCTCCTCCACCACCAGGAGCACATTCCAGGGGAGCCCGCAGAAGAGGCCGCAAAGTCTCCTTTTGCACTGACCCCGCGGGCAGGGCGAGCGCCCCTACCATCTGTCACCCATTCGCTCTGAGTCCCAGGGGCTCGGCAAGGGAGTGAAGCCGGGGAGGGCGCACATGAGAAATGTGGGCTGAGGCTTCCAAGCCGCTGGTCCTGCCCACCTTTTGTCAGAAGCATGAAAACAAGAAGCAACTGTGTGGAAAGAAAGCAATGAGCGAAAGGTCACCGTTTCATTTCCCCCCTCCGGCTGATCTGCTTCTAAGAGAAGGGGGAATGCCCACCCCCTCACCCCAACAGACACCAGGCCTCCCCAGCCCGGCTCCAGAGGGGGAGCCTGGCTCAGCAGACCCTGCCCCTGCTCCTCCAGCCTCCGCCCCCTTCACCCTGACTCCAAGCCCTGTGGCGACAGTAGCTCACTGCCCAGGGGGCCCTGGTGAGCGCACACAGCTCCCCAAGGAAACCAAACCAAGCCAAGCCAGCTAGTAACTGAAGATGCAGGGGGAAGGAACCAGACAGCAAATGCAACAGAGAGGTGCTTCGGGCACAGGAGGTTACTGGCCGGGAGTGAGGCGTGATGGGTAGTGGGCCCACTCCATGGCCCCTCCCCACTGGTGGCGTGGACGTGGGGTCCAGATGCGGGGGCCAGGTCAGGTTAGGGCATCCACTGCATCTTCGCGTGACACCGGGCAGGCCCCTCAGACCTCCTCTGGGCCTCATCCCTTCAACTATAAAATGAGATGGAATAGCACCTCCCCTCGTGTGTTCTGAGGGTGGATGAGATGACACAGGACAGGAGGTAGCGACGGTTCTGACGTGGTGGGTAAGAGACAGAGCGATGACGACTCCCAGGACTATCGCTTATTTAGGAGGCAGATGGGTGACGACGTTTTGGCAAGTTCAACATCTCCAGACGGAGTCTCACCCGCAGGGAGGCGGACAACACTGGCCACCTTGGCAAAGGAAGCCCTGCGACCACCAGTGGGCCTGCACTGGCTGCCTCCCTGCCCCTCTCCTCACTTTGAAGTGGCCTTCAAGGAAGTTTCTCCACCTAGGGCAGAAGGCATTAGATGCCAGCTCTGACATTCTTGGATTCTACAAACCTCGCCAAAGAAAATAACCCGCAAACCAAAATACTCCCACCCTTCCCGCTCATCAAAGTCGCACACACAACTGCCTCGAGCCTCATGCCAGAGCCCTCCCTGCAGAGCTGGAGCAAACTGCTTCCTTCCCGCAGCCAGCAGCCTGGCTTCAGCCAACTTTCAGGCCTCGCTGGTAACACGGAGCCTGTGATGTCTCAGGAAGACACATTTGCCCTAGAAGACGCAGGAGCCTTGCACACTCTGCTCCCTGAGTGGGAGGCAGGGTCCCTACTCTTCCCCGGGTCACATTCCAGGCCCCGTCTACCCTTCAGCGTCACCTCCTCCTAAAGCATTCTCGGACCTCTCTACCTGGGGCCACACCCAGCACATCAGCAGGCGCTACGGCCCCCGAGTCCTGCCCCTTTCCTGCCCTGTGACCTCAGGCAGGTGCCTCACCTCGCTGGCTTCAGGCTCTCCTTGGGACATGGGGGTGGGGAGGCTGTGAGCGTGAGAACAGTGCAAGAGTGTGTTGGGGGTGAAGATGCTGAGCTGTTAAGTTCAGAATTGAAGTTCCTGAATCCAGGGATGGAGGCTCGTCACGCCCCGGCTGTGTCCCCAGCGCCTAGGGACACGGCACACAGCAGGCAGACAGGCACAGCGGGGGGGTGGGAAACACGCCAAGGGACCCACCTGGCTGGTAGCCGGGTCTCTCTGCACGACCTCGAGCCAGCCAACCCCGCTCCCATATCCCCCCTCCCTCCAAAGACAGCGCCAAGACTGCCATCCCTGCCTGGGGGGGCCAGTCCTGACACAGGACACTCTGGGCGAAAGAGGAGTTAGTTCTTTGGGGGCTGGGGAGAGGACTGGAGGAAGGCGGCGCAGGTCCAGAGTGGCCCAGCAAGTAACCTGCACAGTGCAGGTGGGGCTCAGGCACGCAGGCACACCAGCCTGCACGTGCTGTGCATCGCACCCCTCTTCCCCAGCGAGCTCCAAAGTGCCTGGACTTCTAGTGCTGCCGCCACAGGCCACACACCACTTTGGGGTAACAAGTCCAGGACCGAAGGTTCCAAGGTGCTGACCTGGCCCGCAGCCAAGCTCTCAGGGGGAATGTTTGTTCTTAGAGAAAGTTTCAGAGGTAGCCCCTCACCCTCGGGCCAAACTTGAGCACGGGCAGTGCCAGCAAACCACAGTGCCAGCTGGTTTCAGGTTTCCCAGCAGGGCCTAGCACGTCGGGGCTGCTTCCATTCCCTCCCCTGACCGTCCAGAGCCCACCTAGTGTCGCCCATGTCCCCTGCTTGGGCCGGCGTCTGACCAGGCTGGGCAGGGCTGGTCTCTGTCCCACTGTCGCAGGAGTGACAGCTCCTTCCTCCTCAACCAGAACTCAAGCCAGCTTCTAACCAGGGAGTGTGGGGAGTCAGGTTTCTCCCCGGGCCCCGCAAGGACGGAACAGTGAGCTACTTCAACCAAGAAGGAAGAAGGAAAGAGAGAGAGCGCAGTGGGGGTCACATCCTCTACTCGCCTGAACATCGAACTCTTGCAGGAGGCCGGTGATAGTCTGCGGAGAGAGGAGAGACATGGTCAGCGCCACGGGGGTCCCCGCAGAGAAATAGGGTCTCCCAGTCCCGAGTCAACATCCACCCTCCCTCCCGCCTCTGTGCTGTCCTGCATTTCCCAGCGCGCTGGCTTCTTTATATCTCGAAGAATGAAGAATTTCAGTCTAGCAGAAAAGCAGACACGAGAGCGCAGTCCTCTCTGACTACTGCCTTGGTGAAAAGTGATCTGCAGGTCTGAGCTGGCCGCAGGCTTGAGAGACACAGGACTGCAATTGCCTGGGAACTGGTGTCCCTGTCTCCACCCAGTCCTGTACTTTTAAAACTCAAACCTGACCATGTCACTGTCCCTAAATGTCCTCCAGGACTGGCCATCACCTAGATTCAAACCCAACCTCTCATGGGTGAAAGAGAAGGGCAGAAGCTCGCTCTGAGCATCAATTTCATCTTTTGCCAAAGCTGTCAGGGACAGGACAGGCCCAGGAAGGCCGGAAATGAGTCCTTGTCTCCTGGGGAGCCACGAGTGTGGCTCCGTGAAGGAGCTGGGCACATGCTCCGTCAGCATCTCCAAAGACATGTCACTGGCACATTTTCCTCCAGACCCAGAGATGGGTCCAAACATGCTCTGAAAACTGAGTCCCAATCAGATCCCCTGGACAGAAGACAGCTCAGTGAGCAAAATGCAAAAGAGATGAAGTAGAGGGACCCTGTTAGGATAGCAAGGAGCTCAAACAGAGGCCCTGCTGCTGGAGGCCAAAATAACCGCCCTTCCCCCCCCCCCCCACACACACACACAGAGCTGCTGTTAAGAACAGCAAGAAGTTAGGCAAATCAGGTGGAAACCAAGGTGACCTATCTGTGTGAATGTGAGGGGGTGTGTGAGTGTGTGCGTGTGTGTGCAACCTGGAAGAAGGGAGTAGGAAAGCCCTACCCCAACCTTCAAACTGTCTCCAGGCCAGTGGCCATCCACATTGTGAAGTGGCCCCAGGGGGCATGCCCACAGCGAGGCCAACAAAAAACACTGCTGAGCCATCTACAGGACTGGACGGTGTCGTCCATCTCCACCTTGACGGAAAGAGGTCCCAGCAACCTACAGCTGATAACCTCCCAGAGGCTTGTTTCTGAAAAAAGATTTTCCAAGAATGCCAGCAGGCTGCCTGAAGTATCTGAACACTGTGTTTGGAAATGCATTTACCTGGAGACCCAGGGGGGCCACTTCTGAGAATTTATCCCAGAACTGCACCTGCACGTGTAAGGAAATGTGTGTGTGTACAAGATTCCACCGTGTGCAAGTACCCTGTGTGCTGCTGGACATGGCAAGAGGCTAGAAAGACCCACGTGCCCATATTCAGGGCACTCATCGAAGAAACATAGATGCTTTGCAGCTGGAAGGACAAAAGCCAGTGCCCTACAGTCTGATCTGCAAAGTTCTGCAAGATGTCACTCAGAGAATAAAGTCAAGGGGAAGATAAGAATATGTCGATGGTTATTTGCATTACCTAAGGGTTCTTGGCATAGACTCAGACTGAGGAGGAGGAAATGGATTGGAAGCAGGTATGGTGAACAGTACAGCCAGCGAACTGCGGCCCACCACTTGTTAGTGCAAATAAAGTTTTATTGGAACACAACAAGCAGCCACTTGTTAGATGCGGTCTCCGGCTGCCCACACGCTGTAACTGTGAAGTCAAATAGTTGGCACAAAGACTGGAAGAACACAAAGCCTAAGATACTATTCTCTGGACCTTTATAGAAAACATTTGCAGACCCCAAATGCATTCTTCTGCTTTCTTGGGCCTGGGAAATACTATCTAAATGAACCAGGCAATCTCCTTCCCAGCAGAGACCAGATTCTGTATCTGTAAAATGGGACTAGAGAGAGGACCCCCCTACATTCAAAATGAAGAGGCTGGGAGCACAGGGTTCCCAGCAGCACAGTCCCACGCAGTCTCCAAGGGCTCTTTCAGCAAAGGCAGCTGGCCTGGGTTTGGCTGCAAGCCCCACACTTTGTAATTACAGGACTGAGGACAAATTCACATCCCTGAGACACAGTCTCCTCTTCTGTAAAATGGGGACAAGCCCTCCAAGCACACATCGACCCAACCAGTCTCGTGCTGATGAGCCTGGGAAACCGGGATCTATGGCTGACGCAGGCAGACCCGCGCAACATGGTTCACGCATATTAACCATTATTTTGTCAAGCATTCAGTTGACCTTAGAGTCATTCACTTTTGAGCTTGAGGGCAAACATTTTTAGAAGATGTACCTCCCCGGCAATTATGTGCCCAGTGAAATATGGGATGAGAACATAGTTTCAAAATACAGTGTCAACCGTGCAAATGTTAAGGGTTTTGGTCAAAACAACCAGTCCAGGCCGGGATCAGGCCAGCCCAGGCTGGAGGGCAGGGCCCGCTTTTCCCAACAGGGAGCCTTGTTGATGGGAGAGCTTTGACCCTGCGGGTGATGACGGCGGTGAGCATCATCATTCTCCTTCTGCGGGCCAGAGGAGGCTCTAACTGCTCCACAGGAACTGACCCCTTCCATCCTCACCCAGTCCTGGTGTCACTGTTTCAAAGCTGGGGAACTGGAGCATGACGAGGCTGTAGGATCTGAAGGACTCACAGCTGCAAGGCCAGAACTTCGACCCAGGCATGTGGCCTTAACTTCGCAGCTCCGGGACAGACCCCATGGGCAGCGGAGGTCACATGGCATGTTCCAGACCTCCTGGTATCAGAGGTGGGCAGCTTACAGGGACTCAGTGACCTCGGGTGTAACTATGCACAAACAAGATCAGTGAGGGTGGGCGCGTGATCAGAGAAGGGGCCAGGGCTGTAAGTGCCTGCTGGCTCCTGGTGGCGAGGCTGGGACTCTAGAGGGTCCCTCTCAGGCCTTTGTGTTCCTGGACAGGGGGACCCGCAGCAAGGAGGAAGCACTGGACATGTGTGTGCATGTTTGTGCGTGAGAATGTGCAGACCTGTTTCACAGTGTTGCATGTGCGCGTATGTGTGTGCACACATGTGAGCGTGCACGTGATGAGTGTGGCCAGGAGCATGTCCACTCACCTCCCCTTTCTCCACCAGAGGCTTCACCTCGGCGAGGTCCACGTCCTGCAGCTCCCGAGACATGTCCCCACTGTCACCTGCCAGAGGACAAAGCCCAAAGTTCAGCACTTCCTCTGAGATGTTTCCCAAAGAGGCAGTCCACCCTGCCCAACTCCCAGTCCCTCTTCCCACCTGACAGGTGGCGAGGCCCGCCCTGCCCACAGCCCTCACCCTGGGGCTCAGGAGAGCAGGCTGCCAGAGACAAGAAAGGGACTCATGGACACAGCTGTCTCTCGGTGACAGGGGTGGAGGGACACGTCAAACCAGATCCTCTATCAAGTCCACGCCGATCCACATGCCCCAGAAGGTTCTCCTGTATTTTAGGAGGGGACCCACATGACTCCTTCCCAAGCCCCAGGCAACAACCGAGAGGACAGAGGGTCACAGGAGGCCACTGCCTGGAGCCAGCTTCATCCTCAAAGGACTCCCAATGCAGGGGTGGCCTCCCAGAACCCCCCATGTCCACCTCTCTGCTGTGTGCTGGGGGAAGAGGGGCAGGGAGCAGGGCCACCCCAAGACCAGGGGTCTAACAGGCTCAACGCACAGCAGAATTTTGAAAGAAAAAGGACCGCCTGGCAAAAGCAATTCATGAATCCAAAGGGAGGGCAGAGGAGGAGGGTGGCTCAGAGGAGGCCCTCGCAGCTGAGGCACCAGTGCACGCAGAAGGACTGGAGTGAGGGTCCAGAGCTAGACCGGGGCCAAACTAGATGGAGGGATGGGGCTCCATTCTCAGGGGGCCAGACTGGGGCGGGGCGTGTGCTGAGGATCCTGGGAGCTCCGTCTGGGAGCTGCAGGTGTGAACATTTATCTTACATATCAACAGGGAACTGGAAGAAAGACGTGCCCCCCAGTACTTGGGTGCGGTGCAAGAACCCAGAATAAGGGTTAAGTGCTGCAGACGGGGTGGGGAGTAAGTGGCCAAGGAGGCATCAAAATGCCCCTGTCCCCCAGTCAACAGATCAGTTTGAAGAGGGAAACTTGGTGAAAACCAGCCTGACCCAGGGTGTCACGTAGCTACTTTCCAGAGCGGGAGCCTGGGCACTGAGTCACTGAGGCCCCACAGAGGAAACAGAGAGGGAGGGGCAGGGGTAGGGCGGGAGGACAAGAGCCTCTGAATTTTCAGCCCAGGATTGCAGGTTCCTCTGAAGACCCAGCTCCAGGAACCCACAGAATCCTCTTTGTGAAACACCTCTGAGGTCAGCCGGCCACAAAGCCGGGGTCACCCCACAAACACCCCTCCCCCGTGCCAACACATGGCATTCTGTGGGCGGCTCCCCTGGGATGCTCTGGAGCCCCGGCCCGATGTTCCCCAGTAGATAACCAGCCCCACAAGAATGCCTTTATGCAGTCCTGGAGTCTATGCTCCAGAACATTCCCAAAACAAAGTCAGTTTTATATCTGTGAGCATTCCTGGGCAGCTGCCAGCTCGGAGGCAGGAGGCAGGACAAGCTGTGGTCTGTGGGTCTTGCTAATTCAGCGTGTTCATGGCCCCAAGATCCTGGCTCATGGGACTTCTCGCCTACACAGCCGAGGGAAACTTCCAGAAACCCAGGGTCCTGGCAATGCCACCTTTCATGCTGAGACTGTAAGGTCTTCACATTTCACAGGGGTTCTCTGGGGTGGCGGGGGTCAGGGTTCCCACGACCCCCATGGGTGCACTCCAGCTTGCTCCAGCCCCACCTGGACAGGTACCTACCTGTGTCTCCTGCCCCTAGAAGAGAGGGACAGGTTCTGTGCAGCTTGAGAGCAAGACCTGTGTTTAAATCTACTCTGAAATGATGACCTTGGCAAGTTCACACTGATAACAACTGGGCACGAGCTGCTGCTCCCTCCAGGCGGCTCAGCTCCCCTGGCTCCTAGAAGCCACGAGCACCCCACAAAGCAGTCTCTGCAGGCTCCCCCTGCGCCCGTCAGGACAGCTCCACATTCTGGCCTCTCAAATAGGCTCCTGGCGACCTCTTTATCTTACACCCACTTTTCCTTCCCCGTGGTTCTGGCAGCACTCCGACCCCCCACCCACTGTGGGGGGCACACACACCACGATCCAGGGCAGAGGGAGCCCTCTGCTAGGACTGCGAGTTAGAGTGTACATGCACACTCACAGGCTCTCACACACCCGCACCAACACACATCCTCGTGTTCTCATATACTCACACACACACAAATGCACACTCTTAATGCTCACTCTCATGACGTTCACACAACACACTCACTGTACACACACACACTCAACCCCCCACATGCACACACTCAAAGCTCCCACTCACACACACATTTAGACACTCACATGTACACATATACACTCAGTCACATACCTCACATACTTAGTCACAGACACACACTCACCTTCATGCACGCGCACTCACGCAGGCACACACTCGTACACTGTCACAGGCACACACCACCCCGGCCATCAGTGTTCTCAGGGCCTCGGAGAAGCCCAGGGGTCAGAGTGGCTGTCCTGAGAGCACCCAGCAGCCGAGACAGCGAGGCCGGGTGGAGGGACCCCAGGTGCCCACACATCCTCAGAGGTTTTTATGGGATCCAAACTCAAAACCCCAAGACCAAGACTCATGACCCTGATCTTCACCTGGGAGTGGGGGTGGGAGGTAACCTGGTTTGGGGAGCTCCAGCTGGTGCCCCCACCCCAGGGGCGCGGAGCCCCATGCAGGGGGATGTGTCCCCAGCACCCCAAGGCCCTGCCCTGGCCCACTCAGTTCTCTCCCTGGGTTTGAGGCTGAGCGCCGGGTGCCAGTCCTGCCAGCCTCTGGCTCCTCCTGGAAAGTCCCGGCACTGCGTGGGGCATTCAGTGGGACCGCGGCCCAGGCAGGCCACACAGGCACGGCGTCTCGGCCCTCCTGCTCACCTGGCGAGGTGCAGAGTTGTCATCTCCCAGAGGCTCAGGTGGAATTCAGGGTAGATGCCCGCCCACCAAACCCTGCGCAGGGCCCCAAGCACGGCACAGGCCCCAAGGCCGGCTGCCAGACTGGTTTGCATGATGACTTCTTCCTGTCCCGCCCACCCTCCTCAAGTGAAAACCAACTGCAGAGAAGCAACAGTTGACCAGACGCAGGGAACGTTGGAGGGTCAGAGCTGGCGCCTGTGATTCCCCCGCAAATATCTGACCTCTCAGCCTCAGTTCGCTCATCTGTAAAATGGGCGTGACAGCCCCCGGGGTGGGGAGGCTTAGAAAAAACACCGCAGGGAGACTGGTAAATCCTGCTCCTTATCTGTGCACACAACCTAGCCAGCCCCTTTCCAGGCTACATCAGGGGCCCAGGGACCTCTGTGAGGTCACAACCTGTGTTCTACACACGGTCGTGCCAGAGTGACCCGGCACCATCACGTGGGTTTCCAGCCATCAGACCCAGCGCACCCCACAGGGCTCTGCTCCACTTCAGCCACGCTGGTCAATGAGTAACAGAGGCCCCCGAGGCAAATACCTTTCTGGCTCACCAGATTCAGGCGATATAGTCAGCAATTAGCCAGGCTTCCTGGTCCCGGAGGACACCAAGACTGGGGTTGCCCAGAAAAGGGAAGACCAGGCCCCTGGAGACCGGGAGGGCAGCAGGCAAAGGCACTGAAGGCAAACAGTGGTGTGTGAGAATTGTTTACCCGTCCCCAGGGAGGGAGGGACACAGCCTCTGATTCTGCAAAGCCTGCGGTGGGGGGAGCAGCAGGGCTTAGGATTTGGACCTGGGAGCCACGTGCTTCTCTCTCCACTTGCAGGGTCACCCCAAGTAGACCCAGGCTTTAGGCAAAGTTCACATCTGAGACTTTTCTAATCTTCCACCAAACCCAAAGGGGCTTCTGTTTTTACTTCTGCTCCAAAGAGCCATCCAGATGTGGCAAATGCAAAAAAGTAACCACTATGTGGATCTGCTTGCTCCTGGGAGAAGGTGGGGCACCCCAGAAGCTGACAGAGGGGTAACTGGAGACTCCACAGCAAAGAACCCTCCTAAAGCCTGGACACCTCTCACCCAGGGAAAGATGCAACACCCACAGCTTGGACTGGGGTGCAGGTGTAGGGGGCAGAGGGCTGACTCCAGTCTTGGGAGCCTTTTAGTGAATCAGAGAAGAGGGGAGTCCAGGGGGAGCTGTTGACAAGTTTGCACTGTGGCTGCCAGCAACTGGCCCGGATACGGCCCTTCCACTACACGCCTGGCTGCACAGCCACGTGAAAGCCATGTTCTTTCCAGCACCCCAGGCTCTTTGCCCAACAGAATTTAAAAAGGGGGTGGGAGGGTGATCAATGGGTGCTGCTGCTGTTGGGCACAGCACTTCCCTGAACAGACATCCAGAGGATTCCAGGGAACAGACCCACGTCAGCATCAACCTCCAGGAAAGGAGCCTTACTCTGGCCACCTTCTTGGTCCTTTCTTTGCCAGAGAGATTTGGACACCAAGCTTACAAGGCCTCCTCAGGGTCTCTTGATGCCTCTGACCCTCTGAATCGATGCTTCTGGGGAGGGTGAGGAAGCTAGCGCCCTAATTTCCTGTGTTCTGCGTCTATAATCGACCTAGTAAACAGGATGGGTGGACTCACGGGCTCATCAACAAAGTTCCCCAGTTGAAGGCAAGAGGAGTCAGAAGAGGTCTGTCCCAGGCAGAGCCAGGAAAGGTGCACATGTCACAGGGAGGAGGCATCTAGAGAACAGGTCCTGGAGTGGCCCCCAGCGCCTGGAGGGAGCCTAGAAGTCAGCACCCATCTTCAGAGAATGAAAAAGGAGCCACTAAGAAAAGACAAACCCCCACGGCTCAGCCGCTGGGTACTGATGGGCCAGCACATCTCAGGGCTCACTGGAGCCAGAACCAGGAGCGGGCCACGGCACAGAGGGCACAATAGCAGGAAGAGGGAGGTGGCAGCAAGCCGGGCACGGCCTCCCTTCCCTGCAGCACCACCCTGGGCCTTCCTGTAGACGCTCAGCGGAGTCCTGGCAGCCTGAGCAATTTGGCAGAGAGGATGATGGACCAACCGGACGAGTCCAGAGGATGCTGGGTGGGTCAGGATTTTGCCTGAATCTGCAGGACAAGCATCAGCTGCACTAGATGGTCTGTGAGGTCATTTGTTGCAAGTACACAAACGGGGCCAGTGTTGGCACAGGTGGCGGAAATGGATTCTTCCTACAAAATCCTTTGTCCCTGAGATGGGGTGATGGCCACGCTGGTCGGATGAGCCTTCCCCGAAATGCACTTGTCACCTCCACCCTCTGGGTGGCCTTCCAAGCTCTCTACACAAGACAGGCCATTATTTCCTTAATAAATGGAGCTTTCCCTTTGACCAAAAGGAACTGAGTGCCTGCCACGTACCGGGTCTTCTGGGAGAAAACAGAAAGAGCCCGACACGATCAAGGCAGGGTCCCTGGGCACACTCCAGGCACACACCCAGACCTACCAGCCTGGAGGGGAGACAGTCAGAGACAGAGGGGGCTCGTGACAGAGTCCTCAGGGCGACCTGCTTCAGACAAACGCTCACACTGCTATTTTGAAGGGGTCAACCAGAACCTTCCATGGCCCAGGGAGTGAGGCCAGGGATTGGGATGGAGGAACAGGACAGAGCCAGGGTCCTCCACCCCTTCAAGCAAAGCATGCATGAGTGTTGCATTTACACTCGGAGAGACCTTCTCATAGGCTTAAACTCTAAAGACAAACTCCTGAGTGGGGCATTCAGGGTCCCCAGGTGCTTACCTCCTCCCACCTTACTTAGAGACTCATCTTGCTGGACAAAAAGCCTCAAGACAGAGCCGGGGGCAGGGAGTAGGCAGGTCTGCAGTGAATGGGAGGTGGGGATACCAAGGACTAGGTCAATGGGAGACCTGTGTGGATCCCAATTTTGTAATCTGCCAAAACAGACTCCCCAGGACACTGCCCCAAGGGCATGGTCCCACCCTGGAGACTAGGGCCCCATGCACACCCCACTCCCCATATGCTGGGCTGGCCCTGCAGGAGGCTGAGTGCATGTTTTGGAATTAACCACGGACTCTGTGGCAGAGGCTGTCTGGCTGTCTCTAAACGTACAAAGGAAGATCAAGAAGGGCAGAGCTAAGGCTGGACTGAGCAGGAAGGGGGTGCAGCCCTTTTCCTGAAATGGAGCCTGGAAACCAAGCTCAGGCTGCAAAGACAGGTCTAAAGCATCTGGGAGGCTTGGAAGGACAACGCCAGAGGGCGAGGTCCCAGTGGCTCACCTGCAAGAGGCCACCACTCACTGAGCCCAGACAAGAAATCACCTGTTCAAGCCTCAGTGTTCTGAGAAATGTCGAGAATGTCTCCTCGCTCCAGGAGTGAGAGGCACCTGAGCCAGAGCACTGTGCTCAGGATGTCTGGGTGCTCCTTGCTTCCAGCCCAGCCCAGCCCAGCCTGGCCCAGGGCGTTGGGGAACAATGCAGATTCCAGTGCATCCCAACACAACACAGTCAGGGTCCCAGGAGACCGGGCCTGGGGAGCTGCATTTCAGAGGGGGGCCCAACACAGTTTAATGCAATCTGCTTCAGCTCAGCACTGGGGAGAGCCTCCCGAAGCCACACCTGCATCCAGCATGTACAGCATTCTCACTGGTCCGGGTAAGTTTCACACAAGGACACCACTGGCCAAGGGCACAAATCTTGAGAAGGTGCTGGAAAATAATGCCAGCAAACACCAAAGATGTTCCCAGTGTGGTGCTCCCAGGGCAGGGCACTGTCCTCAGCGCTGTACAGGGATGAGCTCATGAATACCCACACCACCTGCTGGGACTGTGAACCTCATTGTACAGGGAAGGAAACTGAGGCAAGGAGCTGCTCCCAACAGCAAGCGCTGGAATAGTGTGGTTTTGTTATAACATGAATGAGGGGAAAAATTGCAGCTGATGTTGAATGGAAGAAAACCAGGGAATTCACGGACAGAACTGCTTTCCTTATACATTTTTTTCCTTAAAGTCACAATTTCCAAAAACCAGGGGCCCGAGGACTTAATCTGCTTCTCAGGATAGCCCTCTCCAGCCACCCCAACCGCAGCTCTTTTGGAGAACAAAGGTGCTGGCATTCCACTCCTCAGGTACAAAGCCCGGCTCTCCTGCTGGCCACTGGCTCTGAGTCCCTTAAACTCTGCTGGCCTCAGCTCCCCGTCCACTGAGGGCGCATACTTGCCCAGGCAGGGCTCCTGCAAGCAGCAAGGGGTGGGGGATGCAGCAGCTGACCTCCTGCCCCTTCTGCCCCCCCCCCTCCCCGGTAGAATCCTAGATGCTGAGTCACCCCCTGACTTGCTCTCTGGGGCCCAAAGCCTTTGAGTCAGGCCTTGGATAGTGTTCCCGGAGCTGGGTCCCAAGGAAGAACTGCAGCTTCAGGCCATCAAAACAAACACAAGGGCACCCTTCTTCCCCTTCCAAGCTGAGGCCAGCTCAGGCCCGAGGTGCCAACCCTCTTGCCAGATCTGAGGGCCAGCCTGGGATTCCCTCAGCCGCCACCATTCAGTGGGGCTGTTGCACTTTTTCTAAGACTTATGCACTAAATCTCTCAAGAACACCTGACAGATGGTGAAAAAGAAAAAAAAAAAAAAATCCTACATTCTGTCCAGAAAGTTTCATCACCAGAAACTCAGCACAGTTCACATTTATTTCTGCGCCTCTGATAGCAGAGACGTAAAACTCCAGGCCTTTCCCTGCCTCCAGTCCTAGCCAGGACACCTGTGGAGGGCTTGGGAGCAAAGCTGCAGTTCAGCTGGGCCTTGGCAAGTCACTCCCTGTGTTTGGGCCTCAGTTTCCATCTGTAAAATGGGAGAACTTGGGAGCAGTAACCTGTGTGGGTTTTAATTCCCTGCCTAGTGATTGAACCAATGCCTGGCAATCCTAGACAAGCCTGGTACTCAGGGACAGAGGCCCCCAAAAGCTCACAGGGCACCCAAATAAGGGAACTGCTTCCTGGGGAGGCACCTGAGGGATGAGAAGGGAAGCAGATGCCGCATTTCCTCCCTGTCTGCAACTTAAGGCCTCCTGGGTTCCAGGCCCTGGGCCAGCCAGGTGCCAAGCCAGAGGCAACACCATCTGCAGCTCCCCTGGTGGGGGGCAGCCTGCCCTGAGCTAAGACATCACAGGTCAGGGGACACCCCAGGTCTCTCTCCCTGCACCAGAGCTCAGTCACTTTAGAACTTTCCAGTCACAACCTCTCCCCACCCCAGGCCACCCAGCAGTACCACACCGAAACTGTGTGCCCCTCATTTCATGTCTCCCCGGAGCTGGGAGACCCACTGGGGTTCACACACTCTGTACCTTCTGATTTCAACTCACACACAGGATTCCCATACAGGAAGACCCTGGAATGAAGCCCCCGAAGCTGCATTTCCACAGCATGAACATGCATGAAGTGAGCTACTCTGTTCATTGGGGTGACTTGGGGGAAGGTTAAGTAAGGCTGATGGGCAAGCGGACGCCGGAGCCCCCCAGCATGGCCAGTGGCTAATCAGGCTTCCGCTCTGATGCTCCCCAGTAGCTTAAAGGAGCCAAGCAAACTGGAGCGCCCAGGACATCTTGGGGGACTTGGTCTTGGGTACCAGTTCACTGGGCGAGACCCCACCAGGGGAGCCTCCCCACTGCTTCCAGAGCCTCTCCTTCCAGGTGCTGCTCCTGACCCAAAGGGACCTCTGGTGGCAGAAGCCACGAACTGGAGAGTGGTTTCAGCTTGCACTGTGACACACCTCGAAGCCTCCCCAACACACACACCCCACTAATTTAACAGAGGGGATGACAGGGCCCCTCCCCCGGAGCCTGTCACATTCTACACGCCCTGGCGGGCTGCCCTGCCCAGGCTGCACAGGCAGCTCTCCGGGACACGCAGCAATTCCAGCTGTTCTGCCCCTGGAGGCTGGACCCAGCGGCAGAGCAGCAAAGGAAAGCGGGGGCGGGTGGGTGGAGGCCAAAGTGACGCCACTCCAGCCCCGGCCGCCCCAGCCCCGGCCGGCACGCGCCAGGCGCCCGCAGGACCCTCTTCCCGCACCACCTCGCCCCAGGCACCACCGCAGCGGGGACCCAGGGCCACCTCCAGGGGCGCACCCCGCCGGCTGCCCTGCGGGACACACTCCGCGCGCGCGACACGTGCTGTGCCACACCTCGAGCCCTACACACACACACACCCCGACTTCCAGGCTGAACCAGCCCCGGCCACTCCGAGGCAGCCCCTCCGGCTCGGTCTGGGGAGGAGACGCGCGCACGTTGTCTCCTTCAGCCTCGGCCCCGGCGCGGCCGGCGCACCCCGCCTTCCCCGGACACCCGCGCGGGGAACACACCTCGCCGCGCCCCGCGCGCGCCCCGCCCACCTCCCGCGCCCATTTCCGCCAGCCGCGCCCGCCGGGGCTCCAGGGGGGCTTGGGGAGCCACGTCAAGGGGATCCCCTGCTCGCCACCCTCCCCGAACCCCCGGGTCCCGCTGCCTCCTCCCCGGGAAAGCAGAGCGGGGATCAGTCCTTTCTCCCGGGTCTTCCTTACGCCCCCACTCCAGGGGCGCCCGCGCCCCAAAGCCCCCTCCCCGCGCTCGCGCCACGACGACCACAAAGGGCGAGCGGGACCCGACGCGGCGCCCCGGGCGCGCCCGCTGTGCGCGCAGGAGGGCGCGGGGGCCTCACCTGAGTCCGGGGCGAGGCGGCGGAGCCCAGACGGCGGGCGGCGCGGAGGGCAGAGCGCGGAGCGCGGCGCGGCCGGGGCGGGAGCCGGAGCCGGAGCCAGGCGGGGTTTGTTTATGGCCCGGCCGGGCGCCACTTTATAGGCGCCTCGGCCCCGCCCCGCGCCTCGCCCCGCCCCGGCCCCGCGGGCGGCGGCGGCTCCCGGACACACCCCGCGCCCCAGCCTCCCCCGGGCGCGCCCCCGGCCCTTCCCCGCCCGCCCGGCCGCGAGCCCCGCTCCGCGGGCGCCCCCGGGGCCGCCGCCTGTTGCGCAACCTCTGCAGGGGCGCAGCGGGCCGGAGCCTCGGGCTGGGCCTGCGGGTCTGCCCGGCCGTCCCCGCCCGCGCCGGGAAGGCGCGCCGAGGCGCGTGCAAGGGGCGTGTGCGCCGGGGGGGGGGGGGGGCGCGTGTGCGCGCGCGCGCGCGTGTGTGTGTGTGTGTGTGTGTGTGTGTGTGTGTGCGCGCGCGCTCGGGCGTGTGCTTGTGGACTTCGTGTGTCTGAGCGACTGAGCGGCCCCTATCGCTCTCCCGGGTTTTTCTTCCAGGGCCCCCGCGCCACGCCCTGCACCCCCACTTCCTCGGGGGCGCACCATCTTCCCGCAGATCCCCGTCGGCTGCGTCCCCAAGGCTGCCGGCTCAGCAGCCAGGGCCAGCTCCCCGGGATTCGGGCTGGGTTCCCACTCCAAGCCCCCTCCTTGTTGCATCAGCTCTCCGCTGCCATCAGCGGCCCGTTGAACCTCATCCATCTTGCCTTGCGCACAGCTTCCTAAAGCCCGAACCCCCTTCCTAGCGCTGCAGCTCCCCATTTCCAAGTCTACCAGCCCGAATCCCAGCGCCCACCCCTTCCTCCGAGTCCCTGCTGGAAGGGAAGGTTCCAGCCTTGCTCCCTGGGTTCCCAGGACTTGTCGGGAGGGGCACCCACCCACCTCGGGGGGGCCCTCTCTGCCGCTTGTTTTGTTTCATTATCTGGACTGTTCTCCGCCTGGACTGCGTGCGAGAGGCCCAGGTGGAACTTTATTTTGAAGGTGCGTGCCAGGGCCCCACCTCAGGCCAGTTGAATCAGAATCTCAGCAAGTGCGGCCAGGCACCAGGGTGTTTTAAAAGCTCTCCAGATGTTTCCAATGTGCGCGTGGATGAGAACAGAATACTGGAAGGACATCATTTTGTGAATAAAGAAAGCCCTTGTCTTCGTCCCTGGGTCCTCTGTCCAGCCTCACATGGGCCGATTCAGCGCCCCTTCCCAGCCCTCCTGCCCGCTGGTGGTAAACCTTCCTCCCCATCCCGCTACTTTCCTCAAAGCAGGGCCCCTCCTTGCCCATGTGTATCCCATTTGCCTCCAGCTGAGTCCCAGGGCAGGTTGGGGTTAAGAGGCAGCATGAGGGACAGGGCAGGCAGGGACACTGGGAGAGCTAAAGAGGCCTCTGAGATGAGGACGGCAATTCCAAGAGGTGCTCACGGAACACACTCGAGACAGGACAGTCCAGGAGGACGTGTCTTTTGCCCCTCCTTGGCAACCTTGCCTTGGAGTCTTTGCTCTTTGTTTTTTCCTCTAAATCAACCTTGTCTTACTTTTTGAATAGAGTTTGCTTCTCTCTGCTTACTTATCTAAAACGTCTGCAAATTCCTTTTTAAGACTCCATGGGACAAGAACCCGCGGTGGCTCAAGGGTTAAATGAACAGAGCACACCGGCCTCCCGGGGGCCCTGGGGTGCATTCTGACTTGCACAAATATTTATGAAGATGCTATGAGGTTCTGTGCTCAGTGCCTGGGCAAAATCTTCCCCTCCGGTGTAGCATAAGAACCTCAGACTCAGGTTCCCCCATCCGCTGCAGACAGCTAGGCTGGGCTGCGCACTCAGGAGCTGCACAGGGCAGCTGCTGTGTCCTGACCCTGGGGTGTGGGACTGAGGAGAGCTGACTTCCCTACCAGCCTGTAACCTCAAGACCAGCCCTGATCTAGCTACTGCTGTGACAGCTTTCTTCACCCCACTCACACATCCACTTCCCCTGGTCTCCCCCACACTGAAATGTTTCAGCACACACTTATTGAACATCCCTAATTTGCTACCTGCCAAAGATACAGTCAAGTTCAAGTGCGTGGAGGAGGCTGCCTACTCCTTCAGTCACAAATGCAAGCCTGTGTGCCTGGCTCAGAGAAGGGCGTTTTGCCAGGGGAGGCCTTTTCCTGTCCCTGAGAGGAAGTCTGGGAGGGGACTCAGGGCTCAGAGCAGCCCAGCCCTGCAGCCAGATGCCCCTAAATTCCACGTGGGAGCTTGGGCTTGTGCACAGGCACCCCAACCTTCTCCGAAGGCAATGAGCAGAGAAGGAGTTTGGGGAGAGGGGAGGGACCAGAGGCATAGAGAGAAGAAAAGTATCAGAATAGTGGAGAATTTTCTGAGTGGTGGCATGGTAGAAGCTCGGGAAAGGCCGTCGCTGCAGAGTGAAGTCAGCAAGGAAAGTTCGGCAGAATATTCCTCTCCCCTAAGGCCAGTTTCTCCGTGATATTGCCAGGGGTTGCTTCGACCACTAAGCACCAGATGAAGCCATTGTCCTGCATTTGGCTGAGACCACCACACTGGAGGAAAGACTGTTCAACTCTGGATGTACATGCGGGAGGAAGATGCTAGACTTAGGGTCTCCAGGACACTGTTCCCTCATCCATGTTCCCAGCCCAGGCTGGAGAGGCAGCAGAAACTCTCAGAGCCCAAGGCGGATTCAACTGCGTTGTGCCTTCTAACTTATTTTCCCTTCGCCCTGGTCTGCAATAGAATTAGATTTGCTTCATCAATGCACGTGCACTGCATGAGGAGATTGGGTGAGACTGGCCTTCCTGATCCGACGGACTAATATCCTTGGGAAATTTTATCACAGTCATTCCAACTAAAAAGACCGTGGGTATCACCTACTCCCAACTCATTTGGAATTCACAGGGACCCAGGGTTAACAGAGACCCAAAAGGCAGCTGGAGTTCAGCTGATTTCAATACTTAAGAGCCATTGCACCTCGGGGACACCCATCCTCTGGGCACACCCATCCCCTCTACATGCACTTGGAAGAAAAGGGAGAGAGGAGCCATCAGACCCTGTGATAGCACCGTGCGAACGAACCCTCAGCCCTGTATTCTTCCTACTGCTAAGACAAGAAAGTGTCCCTGAGAAATGACATGAGACTAGAGAAGGCGAGCTGGGATGATGGGGTGATGGTGATGACAGTGACGGTGATGAGAGGATGGTGAGAAAAACACCTAACAATTTATCTGGAGTTTTCTAGATGCCCCAGCATCTATCAGCCCCAGCACTGGGCTTTCTTGCTGTCTATCCTCTCACCCCCGCATCCATCTTTCCCTCTCTTCTTGGTCATCCTGAGCGACCGCTGCACACACGCCGCAATCCATGATTCACTTGGACTAACTGTTCTTCCCCAAGAACACGTCCAGTTTCTGTGACCCATGCTTTGTTCACTTTTGCTTCCCAAACTTCTCTAGGGTGGTGTCTATACATGAGGTTTATACTCCCTTATCTCTCCTGTCTTCTTTGATTTTAAATATTTAATGTATCAAGTTCTCATAGACCTGGTCAAATAATTCTACAAAGCTTGTTGGCTTTATTAGCGCACACACACACACACACACACACACACACACTTCCTACATCCCCCTCCACAGAAGCTACCACTTTCATCAACATGTAGATAAGTCTGTCCCTCATCTCTGCTGCTCTCCAACTCCAGCCCTGGCTGAGTTCTGAAATTTCCTGCCTCAGGAAGAACTTCAGCTAGAAGTTAACACTGATTTCATGTGTAACTTCTGGGCAGCTACCTTTCCTTTCAGGGCCAGGGTCATTGTGGGAGTTCATATATTATTACACTGGCGGTATTATTCTGTGCTATGACAGTGCTTGGCACATAGAATGCTTTGGATAAAGTGTTGGCCACTGCCATGACCATCACGATCACCACCAGCATCTCCACCATCATCAGCATCACCGCCATCTTCTTGCTAATCACTATCACCATCTTTCTGTCATGACCACCCTCACCACCACCACCATGATCCCGTCCCATCTCTCCTGGGTCCTTGCGTAGAATCTGAAGCAGACATTGAGCAAGTTGGAGGGAGTGTGACTACTTCTCTTTGAACTCTCCCTACTTCATCCAGACTTGGGTGGACTTTCTGGGCAGGGGAATGGACCTTCCGACTTGCTTCAGGGACACACGTGAGTGAGTCATCCCATGTCAGCCGCCGGACCTGAAATAGTGGTGAGCAGCAGCGGGGAGAAAACCGCAACAGGAAAACAGTGAGTTAGATGTTAACCTGTCTCGAGGTTTTGAACGTCAGAGAAGGTAAGCGACTGTGGCCCATAGAAAATAAGCGACTGTGGCCCACAGAAAATCAGTTTCTCTTGGTTCACAGTGTTTGCAATAGTTTGTCAGGGTTGTAGTAGCTTGTCAGGGTTGCCATAACAAATTACCACAAACTGGGAGGTTTACAGCAATAGGAATATAATACTTCATGGTTCTGGATGTCAGAATGTTAGATGTGTCTCCTCTGAGTCCCCCCAAGTCCCTGGGAACAAGCCAAAGCTGGAGAAACAAGAACCCCCAGAGTCCACCTGACTTCTGTGTTACAAGCTTCCCCTGCCTGGTTTCCTGAGCCCCTCCAAGGCAGCTGCCTGGAAGGGGTGGTGGTGGGCGGGGAACACGGACCTCCCCTCATAAGAAGGCTGAGTGCCAGATGTGGGCAGGGCGGTGCTCCCTCTGCAGGCACAGGGGAAGTCTCCCTCCTTGCCTCTTCCGGCTTCTGGACCTTGGTGTGTCTCGACTTGCCCTTGCATCACCCCCTTCTCTGCCTCTTGCACCCGTGACCCTTCTCTGGAGTCCCTGTCTCCATAACCCCTCACCCACCTTAATGCCACCTGCCCCAGAATGCCACCTGTCCAGAAAGTCCACACAACCCTATTTCCAAATTAGGTCATATTTGGAGGCTTGGGGGAGGGGAGAATAAACTGGGGAGGCAGAGAGGATTCAA